CAGGAGGATGGAAAGAAGATTAAAACTCTGAGAAAGAAAGAAAAGAGCTGCAGAGATTGAGGGCTGGAGTTGGAGATGACCACTCTTACAACTGAGGCATTGATTGGAGGTTAGTTTAGTAGTCAATGTTTTGCTCAGCACCTCCACAATTCTTTTTTTTGTTTTTAAGAGAAAGGGTCTCACTCTGTCACAATCATAGCTCCCTGCAGGCTTGAACTCCTGGGTTCAAGCAATCCTCCCACTTGAAAACTGACTGACTGAGATAATGAAAGAGATCTAACCTGAGACTCTATCTTGCTTCCAATCTCCCAGCTGTCCTTGTTCCTTCTTGAGTGTAGGCTGAACTACCTTTGGGAGGAACTTATAGTTTATAGTTTAAAACAAAGATGTTAATAGTCCTTTCCCAAAACAACCTTCTTCTTGCCTAGGGACTAGACTGTCCTTATAGGACTAAGAAATTAGCCGCAAGATTAGAAATTATGGTTTGAGGCCAGCCATGGTGGCTCGCGCCTGTAATCCCAGCACTTTGGGAGGCCGAGGCAGGTGGATCACTTGAGGTCAGGAATTCGAGACCAGCCTGGCCAACATGGTGAAACCTTGGCTCTACTAAAAATACAAACATTAACCAGGTGTGTTGGTATGTGCCCTCCCAGCTACTTGGGAGGCCGAGGCAGGAGAATCGCTTGAACCCAGGAGGCAGAGGTTGCAAGTGAGCCGATATCGCACCGCTGCACTCCAGCTTGGGTGACACAGTGAGACTCTCTCTCAGAAAAAAAAAAAAGAAAAAGAAAAAAGAAAAGAAAGAAATTATGGTTTGGGAGTCATGCAGCTGGAGGCTACAAGATTCTGACCCTCCCTGAACTGCTCCTAAGATCCACGCTTGAGATCTTTTGCAGACTCTGCACTTGATGGATCAGCTGGCACTACCCAGATTGAGAAATTGGCTCATCTGATCTTGTGGCCCCCACCTGGAAACTGACTCAGCCTCCTGAGTAGCTGGGATTACAGGCATGTACCACCACACTTGGCTAATTTTTCTATTCTATTTTCTAGAGGTGGGGTCTTGCTATGTTGCCCAGGCTGGTCTCAAACTCCTGGCCTCAAGCAGTCCTCCCACCTTGGCCTCCCAAAGGGCTGGAATTATGTGCACCTCCACAGTTCCATAACAGGGAAACCTCTCTGGAGTTAGCCTGAACTTCAGCTGAGGAAGCCCCTAAGCACTGGGACGTCTGGGGTCCTGCAAGAAAAATGAGTTTGGGTGCCAGGGGGAGTGTCTGAGCTGCCTCCCCTCTCTCCTCTGGTTAGTGCAGTCAATCTACAGCCATCCTGGCCTGGCTCTTCTCTGCCTGCTGCAGGAGTTGGCAGATGCAGAGGTTGGCTCAGAGTAGCCCAGCCTGAGCCTTGGGGGATAGGGTCAGTCCCCAGCTCCCAAAGCCAGCTGGACTCTTGAGCTGAGAGCACCTGAGCTGCAAGGTCTTGGCACGTCTTAGAGATAAAAATGAAGCAGCATTGTTGTCTGGGGTAATACCTGAGGTTTGTCATCAGATGCCAAGGAAATCAAGTACATGGACACAAGAAATGGGTTTAGGAGTAGAGTTTTCTAGGCAAAAGAAAGAGAAAAAAGAACAGCTCTCTCTGTTTTGAGAGAGAGGGGCACCTGAATGGGACTTCCCGCCTGTGGCAGAGTGCACAGGATTTTACAGAAAGGCTGGAGGAGGTTGTGTCTGATGTACACAGGGCCCAAAGATTGGTTGGGCCAGGTGTGATGTTTACATAGTGAGCAGGAAAGCTGGCTGTCCCACCCTAATCTGACTATGCAAATGGGGTCTTTGCCTGGCTGGCTCCATGTTGTCTTATCCTTACCGTACACGTGGTTTGGCAAAGAGGAGGGAAGATAAGCCGCCATGTTGGACACGCCGAGTCCCAGGCAGCCTTTTCCTATTGGCACAGCTGCTGGCATTCACCCGTGCAAGTCCCTAGCTTGCTTGTCTCTGTCTGCAGTTGGATTTTACAGGCTGCTCTTTGTTAGGAAAGAAAATGAGCTGGGGGCTGCTTTTTATTAAAAGGAGAACCTTACTGAGAACTGCTTTGCCCTCACCATCTGCCTAAATAATTTCTTTCTTTTTGTTTTTTGAGATGGAGTTTCACTCTTGTTGCCCAGGCTGGAGTGCAATGGCCTAATCTTGGCTCACTGCAACCTCTACCTCCCTGGTTCAAGCAATTCTCCTGCCTCAGCCTCCTGAGTAGCTGGGACTACAGGCACACACCAACATGCCCAGCTAATTTTTGTATTTTTAGTAGAGATGGGATTTCACCATGTTGGCCAGGATGGTCTTGATCTCTTGACCTCGTGATCCACCTGTCTTGGCCTCCCAAAGTGCTGGGATTATAGGCGTGAGCCACTGCATCCAGTCAATAATTTCTCCTTAACTTCTATATCAAAAACATGGTGCCAAGAGGCATGGCGGCCACTGGTCCATGATGAGAGGAAGAGGGTGGCATTTCTACACTGTTGCCTCTGTGACCTTGTCCTTCTAAGCTTGAGGGTCACAAGTCAGCCTTCTCTTTGGTTTGCTTCACTGATCCAGAGGGGGACAAAACAGGTCACTGGGACCTTCAGACTAGTTGCAGAGAAGAATTCCCAGGCTCTGGCCACAACACCTTTGGGGGTGCAACTATTAGGTGGCTCTGTGAAAACTGCCTGTTCTGAATACACCCCAGTGACTTCTGGCCTCTTCTCAGTCCCCAAGCCCACAGAGGTGGCTGGAACCAGTTGGGGATTTCTAATTCCAGTTTCTGCCTTGGGAATGATGAGGAACGTTTCCAGCTGGGTTTAAACACATTAATTCCCAAATTGAGTTTGGCTCTCCTGCTATTTAAAAACCCTATTTGGTAAGCGCTTCACAGAGCAATAGCTCTGAAAGAGAAAGATTGCTTTCCATTAGCCTGGCTTAGTAGCATGCATTGCTATTCACAAGGCAGTCAAAGAGAATTTAAGTGGAATGTGGGTTTCAAAGTCCAAGTGAGAGGCAGTCCTCTGGAAGTCTGGGCTCGCCCACTGCTAGGGAAGAGAGGACCTGGTGTGGATGCTGGCTCACTTTTTGTTTTGCTTTGTTTTTTTGAGACAGGGTCTCACTCTGCTGCCCAGGCTGGAGTGCTCCATCATGGCGTACTGTGGCCTTGACCTCCTGGGTGGTAAATGCATGCTCTGAATGAAGAGACCTCCCAAACAGGCTTTATGTGAGCAACATGGCTGTTTATTCACCCAGGTGGGGTGGGATAAGTCTGAAAAGAGAGTCAGTGGAGGGTAGTGGGATGGAAGTTGTTTTTCTAAGGTTTGGGGTAGGCAGTGGAACGTTACAGAAGTTACAGTTCGGGGCAGTTTTTGCAAGCTGGGAGGGGGTCGGATGGTCTGGAGTCATGAGGTTGACCAAGGTTGGTTACAAAGTCCAGTTGCCTTATCAGTTGAGGCGGGAATGAGGAACAATAGAAGAATGTATCAAAGTTAATTAGGCACTGCAGGGGTTGGTCATTCTTCCCTTTTTGTGGTTTTCCAGTTACTTCAGACTTTCTAGTTCCAGGAACTCATCTGGAGTGTATGTGCAGGCCATAGAGGTTACCATGCAGTCCATGGTGCAGTCAGTCGGCCTAAAAGACCTTACACCAGGCTCAAACAATCCTGCCACCTCAGCCTTCCAAGTAGCTGGTACTAAGATATGAGCCACCACATCCAACTGCTTTTTAACATTTTTTGTAGAGATGAGGTTTTGCCATGTTGTCCAGTCTGGCCTCAAACTCTTGAGCTCAACTAATCTGCCCACCTCAGCCTCCCAAATTGTGAGGATTACAGGCATGAGCCACTGTGCATGGCCACTTTCCAAACCTCTGTCACCCTCAAACAGCCCAGCAAGCAGGGCATTGCCAATGCAAAGAAGCCTGGTGCAGGCTGCCTGCCCTCCCTCGGGACCAGAGTGGCCTGGTGGTGGAGCATGGAGGGGAGCAGCTGACCCCGACTGTGGGGGCTGGAAGCAGGGGAGGCAGACCCACCTAACAGTCCTGCTTATGCTCTCCTCACAGCAGTGGGAGCCCTCTGTGGGGTGCTCTGCCCCTAGCCAGGGCCTTCTCATCTTCACCCCTCACTTCTTAAAATTCTTAAAATTCCATTGAAGAATTTTTTGGGTAACTCAGCTCTGCCTGAAATGGCCTCACTGTAACTGCCCAGTGGGTTCTCCTTGCCTGCTGCCCAGACAGAGCCGATTTATCAAGACAGGGCAATTGCAAGAGAGAAAGTTTAATTCACACAGAGCCGGCTGTATCGGAGACCAGGGTTTTATTGACTCAAATTATTCTCCCAGAAAACTTGGGGATGGTTTTTTAAGGATAATTTGATGAGTAGGGGGTTGGAAAGTGGGGAGTGCTGATGGGTCGGGTTGGGGTGGAAATCACAGGGAGTCAGAGCTGTTCTCTTGCACTGAGTCAGTTCCTGGGTGGGGGCCCCAAGACCCGATGAGCCAGTTTATCGATCTGGGTGGATCCATCACGTGCAGGGTCTGCAAAATATCTCCAGCGCTGATCTCAGGTTTTACAATAGTGATGTTATCCCCAGGACAGCAATTTGGGGAGGTTCGGAATCTTGTAGCCTCCAGCTGCGTGACTCCCAAACTGTGATTTCTGATCTTGCGGCTGATTTGTTCATCCTGCAAAGGCAGTGTAGTCCCCAGGCAGGAAGGGGGTTTGTTTTGGGGAAGGGCTGCTGTTGTCTGTTTCAAAGTTCAACTGTGAACTCAATTCCTCCCAGTTAGTTCGGCCTACGCCCGGGAATGAAAAAGGGCAGCTTGGAGGTAGGAAGCAAGATGGAATCGGTGAGGTCACATCTCTTTCCCTGCCATAATGTTCTCAGTTATACGTTTTACAAAGGCGTTTCATCTTTGCTGCAACTGCTGGAGGAGTATGCTAGCCTGCCCCTTCCCCCCTCCCCACTGCCTCCAGTTTGCCCCCATTCAGCTTAAATAGGACCTGAACTTAAATGAGGAATGAGAGGAGTCTTTGGTTCCGCTGAAGTTTTTGCTTTTGGTGTGAGGAGGTAGGGATGATAAGAAGAGAAGACTTAGACAGGCTAGTGACAAGTTTTAATATTCCATCTTTTTAGAAATTTGAGATTTTTTTTACAGACAAAGAGCAAACAGAACCGTGCTATGTTTCATAATTTATGTGGAAGATCTATCACGTGCTTTTGACAGGTCTAGCATATTCACAGTGGCTACAGGCTGCTCTGCCAGGGCGATGCCTTCTCCTGACCGCTTCGGAGATGCCGGTTTCTGGTCATCTGCCCCACCTTGTTTGCAGCGTCCCAGGCAGCTTGAACTCATCCCTCCACCCGCTTCTCACCTCAGTCTGCTTTCTTCTGCTCCCAGTACCATGTCCATTTGCTGGTTTCTGGGAAGAGTGGCGTTGACTGGCAGGTGAGCTCTTTCCCCTCTTCATTTAGGCTTGATTGAGCCCTGAGTCCTGTGCTGGGTCAGGCACTGACGTAAAAGTGGGAGTTCTGTCCTCGGGACTCACAGCCTACTGGAGCTGACATGGGATTACAGGCACACCACCACACGCAGCTAAGTTTTGTATTTTCAGTAAAGACAGGGTTTCGCCATGTTGGCCAGGCTGACCTCGGACTCCTGACCTTGTGATCCACCCGCCTTGGCCTCCCAAAGTGCTGGGATTACAGGCGTGAGCCACCGTGCCTGGCCTGAAATAGGCCAGAGTTTGTCTCTGTGGCTTGACTTCAGGTCCCTGGCTCCTTTTTGGGTCCAGTGCATTCCATGCAGACAGGAGTATGTGGAAAGGCTCACAGATGAGAATGAGGAAGACTCGTTTGGGAACTGTGAATAGTTACTGGATAGCCTGCCATGCTCACGTAAAACTCTGGCCAAAGGAGCCTCTGCTGACTGGTTCTCTGTCTCCATACAATGTTTCTGAAGTTGTAGGAACAGAGCTGACTGCTGAGCATGGTCTGACGTGCTGTGTTAGAGACCCTTGCTCTCACGGTGTGGTCCATCACCTAGGAGCTTGTTAGAAATGCAGAGCCCCATGCTCCTTCCTTGATTTAGCATCAGAATCTGTATTTTAACAAGAATCCTGGTGACTCTTCTTGCACTGAAGACTGGGAAGCGTGGATAGAGCTGGCCCTAGGATCTGGACACCTGTAGGATCTTCTGAGTTGACCAAGCAGGGCATCCGGGACCTGAGTTGGTAACCCGTCCATTGCTTAACACGTTCTATAACGTGCCCAGTTTGCATTTTCTCCAACCCAGATCCTCAGTTAGTGAAACCTCCCCAGAGCTTCCAGATTAAATGGCTCTCTTTGTGAGAAAGTTTCAATATTTGCTCATTCAAATTAACCGAGCTCTAGCCTTCCATCGAAGCAATGCAACAAAGGTAACAGCATCGTCACTTTCCTTAATCCTTTTTTTCTTTCTGGACAACCATGCAGGAGAATTTATCTTTTTTTTTACCTGAAAAGTTTTAATTACTTGCATGTGTGATTCCAAGACTGTCTCACTAATACAATTAATTTTAATCAGGCGACGAAGTCTCTCATTCAATCGAGTTATTCTCAATTAACTGACTGTGTATTTCACTTCATTATCAGTTGATTGTGATTACTTATTATCAAGTAAACTCAATACATTATGATAATTTTATTAATCAGACAAGGCCTGCTGTCCAAAAGCCATGTTTGTTTAAATTCAGCGGCCCGTATATGGGCAGCTTGAAATGCTGTGAAATCAATGCAGACCACAGATGTTTTTAAACTCCTGCATCGCTAGCACTCTACTGGGAATGCTGGAGTGAAGGAAAATGTTTAGGACAAATGCTGCTCTTAAGAGCCTTTTTTTTTTTTTTGAGACGGAGTTTCGCTCTTGTTACCCAGGCTGGAGTGCAATGGCACTATCTCGGCTCACCGCAACCTCCGCCTCCTGGGTTCAGGCAATTCTCCTGCCTCAGCCTCCTGAGTAGCTGGGATAACAGGCATGTGCCACCGTGCCCAGCTAATTTTTTTTTTTTGTATTTTTAGTAGAGACGGGGTTTCACCATGTTGACCGGGATGGTCTCGATCTCTTGACCTCGTGATCCACCCGTCTTGGCCTCCCAAAGTGCTGGGATTACAGGCTTGAGCCACAGAGGAATCTGATTTTTAATAAGAAGATGAATCTAAGAAGAATTGGGATCCGGGACCCAGGAGGCGGAGGTTGCAGTGAGCCAAGATGGTGCCACTGCACTCCAGCCTGGGCTACAGAGCAAGACTCCATCACAAAAAAAAAAAAAAAAACCCAAAAAACCCCAATATATCATCCTGTGCTGCTTATGCTTCTAAGCACTGGGGAAAGGCATGAAAATGAAAACTAAAAATAATTTAACCACGTGGCAAATGCTCATGGCTTCTCCACAAAAAAGCAGAAGCTTCTAAGCATACTAAAGTCCTGCACATCTTGAGTGATGGGGAGCTCACTACCTTCCAAGGCGGTTCTTTCTCTCTCAGGCAGGTTTCTTGCTATTAAACAGCTCGTCCTCATACTGAGCTGAAAACAGTCTCTTGTAACTAATTTCTCCCCTTTGGTACTAGTTCTTATTCTAGCTTCTCCATACTGAAAAGGCAGGACTCTTGGGCGCTTTTCTAACCTAAATATTCCCTGGATGACAACAGGATTCATGGCAGTTTTCCCAAGTATTCATGAGATCTTCCCAAGGCCGAATATGCTTTTCTTTGTCTCTGTCTCTCTCAAAATGCAGCCCACTTTTGCCATGGCTCCCATCCCAAGCCACCACTGTTCACTCTCCTGCCACCCCACAGGTACTACTGTGACCCTTTCCCACAAACGCAGCTAGACCTGAGGCCTCCATGATTTATTTTCTAGTTTTGAGACATAGTTTTACTCTTGTTGTCTAGGCTAGAGTGCAGTGGGGCCATCTCGGCTCCCTGCAACCTTCACCTCCCAGGTTCAAGCGATTCTCCTGCCTCAGCCTCCCAAGTAGCTGGGAATACAGGCGCCCACCACCAGACTGGGCTACTTTTTTTGTATTTTTAGTAGAGACGGGGTTTCACCATGTTGGCCAGGCTGGTCTCGAACTCTTGACCTCAGGTGATTCTGCCTGGGCCTCCCAAAGTGCTGAGATTACAGGTGTGAGCCACCATACCGGGCAGCTTCCATGATTTCAAGGGAAGAATTCATTACATGACTCTGAGTGAGGAATAAAATATGCAGACGACAGTAGGACTCTCTCCTCCTTCATTCTAGGATCTATGCTTCTGTTAATGCAGCAGTTTCCGGTAGCTTCATTTTTACCTTCTTTTCTGCACTTATGGAGACCTCATCCGAGATGAAGGAGTACATGGAGGACCTAAAAGAGACAAAGAAGGACAAGAGAAAACCTTGTGCCATAGAAAAAGGAGAGACGGAAGAGGGGACATGTCACAGATGCCGCCTTTGAAGTGGACACAAAGCAGGCTTTTGCGGTGTTTCTGGGGCCTGACGCTCAGCCCTCTACACACGCTATTTGCGAACGTTTACTCGTGCGAGCCCAGATTTTCTAACACATACTGGCAGATTTCTTACTGGCAGCTCATGGCAATGCATTGGGTGGCAGGAATGGGACAGCAAGCAGATAGCCCAGGCTGAGACTTAGTTTTTAGTGACAGACTGAGAGTCACTGGAGGGAACCTTTATAAACACAGGACAAAGCCTTCCATCTGCCTTCCAACGAGCGTCCCAGGGATTGGGCCGGTCCATCTCATTACAGGTGACCTCCTGGGATTCTCTTCTTTTTGTTTTTGAGATGGAGTCTCGCTCTGTCGCCCAGGCTGGAGTGCAGTGGTGCGATCTCGGCTCACTGCAACCTCTGCCTCACGGGTTTTAAGCAGTTCTCTGCCTCAGCCTCCTGAGTAGCTGGGATTACAGGCACGGGCCACCATGCCCGGCTAATTTTTTGTATTTTTAGTAGAGACGGGGTTTCACCACATTGGACAGGCTGGCCTTGAACTCCTGGCCTCAAGTTATCTGCCCGCCTCGGCCCCTTAAAGTGCTGGGATTACAGGCATGAGCCGCTGTGCCTGGCCTCTCTTTTTTTAATGCCTTTGTCCCCTCGGTTCCTCTTTCCCCGGCCAGGCCACCATCATCTTGTTGTGGGACTTCCCTGGTGAATGGTATTATCCTGTGACCCCACTGTCAAAGGCAGCTAGACAAGAGGCCTCTATTACCCCAACAGAGATGAAAAAAAAGAAAGAGGCCAGGTGCAGTGGCTCACATTTGCAATCCCAGTATTTTGGGAGGCTGAAGTGGGAGGATTGCTTCAGTCCAGGAGTTCAAGACCAGCCTGGGCAACAGGGTGAAACTTTGTCTCTACAAAAGACACAAAACTTAGCCAGACAAGGTGGCATGCACCTGTAGTCTCAACTACTCAGGGGGCTAAGGCGGGAGGATCGCTTGAGCCCAGGAGGCAGAGGTTGCAGTGAGTTAAGATTGCACCACTGCATTCCAGCCTGGGCGACAGAGCGAGGCACTGTCTCAAAAAAAGAGAAAGAAAAGAGTTAAGACCATAGATTTAGGGCCTGACGTGAGATAGATTTAGAAGAATGCATGAGCTAGTTTTCCTCTAGGACAGAAGAAAGAGAAAGATGGGGTGTCACAAGCGGGGGGAGATGGTGGCTTCTGGATGAGAGGACAGGATCAGAGACAGCCCTGGCTCTCCAGCTGAGGGATGCAGTATTTCAGAGAGCCCAGAATGGTCCCCTGTGCACGAGGGTCCATGATGACCAGCAGGTCACCTGTGGATAGTAAGAACTAGCTAGAAGAACCGCTCTTCTCACTGGAGAACCATCTCCCTCTGCCCTGTGAGCCTTGAGGTGGAGGGTGGACACGTGGGCGTTAGAGAGATGGTGGGGGGGGGGCATATGGAAAGAGAGATGGCTCATTTCAGGTCCACATCTGTTTTGCAAGGCATGATGGCTCATGTCTGTGGTCCTGATGCTTTGGGAGGCTGAGGCAGGATGATCACTTGAGCCCAGGAGTTCAAGACCAGCCTAACCAACACAGCAAGACCCTGTCTCTTAAAAAAAACATTAAAAAGTTAGTCGAGTGTGGTGGTGCACACCTGTAGTCTCAGTTACCTGGGAGCGAACCACTGCGATCATACCACCCTGTCTCTTTAAAGAAAAGAAAATTGGCCGGGCGCGGTGGCTCAAGCCTATAATCCCGGCACTTTGGGAGGCCAAGGAGGGTGGATCATGAGGTCAGGAGATCGAGACCAACCTGGTCAAGGTGGTGAAACCCCGTCTCTACTAAAAGATACAAAAAATTATCTGGGCATGGTGGCACGCGCCTGTAATCCCAGCTACTCAGGAGGCTGAGGCAGGAGAATTGCCTGAACCCAGGAGGCGGAGGTTGCGGTGAGCCGAGATCGCACCATTGCACTCCAGCCTGGGTAACAAGAGCTAAACTCTGTCTCAAAAAAAAAAAAAAAAAAAGAAAATCTTCTCCTTCGCTGTGACAGTGGAAACCCAACTTCTTTATTCTCTCTTGCCTGGAGGACATGTGGGTTGCTTCCAGCATTTGGCTATTATGAACAATGCTATCAACTTTCTTATATGTGTATCCTGACACATGTATATAAAAGCATCCTAAGGTGTGCATACACCTATCTACCTGTGTGTGCGTGTGACAAGGTCTTGCTATGTCACCTAGAGGCTGGAGTGCAGTGGCACAGTCATAGCTCACTACAGCCTCTACTTCCTGAGCTCTCGTGATCCTACAGCTTCAGCCTCCCAAGCAGCTGGGACTACAGGCATGCACCAACACGCCTGGCTAATTTTTAAGCTTTTTCTTTTTTTTTTTTTTGTAGAGACAAGTTCTCGCCATGTTGCCCAGGCTGCTCTTGAACTCTTGGCCTCAACTGATCCTCCTGCCTTGGCCTCCCAAAGTGCTGCAATGATAGGCCTGAACCGCGCCTGGCCTACGAGTATTCCGTTAACTGTGTGCATGTCTGTCTGCATCTGAGCCTGGGGGGCTTAGTGCCTTTGTCACTCATGTTTGAGGCAAGGAGAAGGATTGTCACTGCGGGGTCAATAGCCCATGTTCAGCTTTCTAACACCTCATTCTTTCCCAAAGATACTTCCCACCATACATTCACTCATTCATTCATCAAACACCTTCCAGCCCCAATGGCCCATCAGGCGCAAGTGCCCCGAAAGCCAGCATGCCTTCTGCCTGGTGCGGCGGCGCATGCCTGTAATCCCGGCAAGTAAATACGGGCATTGAATAATTCGTCGCTGGTGCACATTCACCTGGCATTATTCTAGTGAAAATCCCTCGCAGTTCGCTGGGTATGAAGTAATAAGTTAATCATGAAAAAATGCCAAAATTGTTCTCATTTTTGATGTATTACCGGTGTTTTGTCAAGTACCGAGAGAACTGAGGTAAAATACTTCCTCATGATGGTAGACGTTGGCATCAACCTCTCCTTTTCTTTTTTCCCCGGCTTTTAGTGCTTTGAGGCTATTAGGTACGTGAAAGTCTGACATTGCTACACCTCGATGCATTGAAGCTTTCATCATCATGTAACGGCCCCTTTATCTCTGTTAAGGCATTTTGCTTCACTCCTGTTTTAAATAATGCGAACGTGGCTACTTTTCGCTTTCCTTTGGCTAGTGTTTGCCTGATGCATTCTTTTTTAATCTTTCAAATTTTCTTCTGTGTCCCTGTGTCTTAAGCACATTTCTTGTAAACAGCATTGCCTTAGCCAGCCTCCAGTCTCCAGAGTGAGCCTCCAGCCTCCAGTTCACACCTCTTGTGGCCCTCCCTGACGTGGTGTAATGGCAGGAGACACACACACACACACACACACACACACACACACACACGTATACATCTATACATAGTTATGGATATGTCATTTTTATGATATATGTATTTTTACATATGTATAAATGCATATGTATATTTACGTATGTACAAATGTGTGTGTGTATGTGGGGGTGTGTGTGTGGGTATTTTATTTAGAGTTGGAGTCTTGCTCTGTTGCCCGTGCTGGGGCACCGTGGTGTGATCACATCTCACTGTAGTCTTTAAGTCCTGGACTCAAATGATCCTCCCTCCTCAACCTCTCTAGTAGCTGAAACTGCAGGTGTGTGCCACCACACCCAGTCATATTTTTTTTTTTTATATTTGATTTTTGGTAGAGACAGGCTCTTGCTCTGTTGCCCAGGCTGGTCTGGAACTCCTGGACTCCAGTGATCCCCCACCTTGGCCTTATAAGTATCTGGGAGTATAGGTGTGCGCCATCACACCCGGCCAAAGTTATTTGTCATTTTATTTATTTATTTATTTATTTGAGACAGAGTCTCGCTCTGTCACGCAGGCTGGAGTGCAGTGGCACAATCTTGGCTCACTGCAACCTCCACCTCCTGGGTTCAAGCAATTCCCTGCCTCAGCCTTGGCACCTGCCACCACGCCCAGCTAATTTTTGTATTTTTAGTAGAGACGGGTTTTACCATTTGGCCAGGCTGGTCATGAACCCCTGACCCTTGTGATCCACCAGCCTCTGCCTTCCAAAGCGCTGGGAATACAGGCGTGAGTCACTGTGCCTGGCCTTATTTGTTATTTTTTTATATGTAGAGACCGGTCTCACTATGTGGACCAGGCTGGTCCCAAATTCTTGGCCTCAAGATATCCTCCTGCCTCAGCCTCTTGAGTCATTGGGATTATAAGTGTGAGCCACTGTGTCTAGCCGAAGACATGCTGGCTTTTGGGTCCCTTACACCTGACATTCCATTGGGGCTGGAAGGTGTTTGCTGAATGAATGAGTGAACGTATGCTACATATTAAGCAGTGGGGGATGGAAAAGGATTCCCTTTCTGACAATGGTGTTTCATTGTAACATGAGTTTTTTTTTTTCCCAGAGAAAATTGATATACAGAATTTTCTTTAAGATAAATATATCCGTATTTATCATACCTGGAGATATGATAAATCCACAAAGACACGAAATGACACAAAATGAGACACCTGCTTTTCTACGATGGCATCAGTGACAGAATGGGCTCTTGCACCAGTAGGGGCAATGCCTGCCATGCTCCCCTTCCTGCCATGGTAGCCAGCAACTGTTCTCACAAGTGCCCGGATTCTGTTGTCTGTTTGCATCTGAGCCTGGGGGGCTTAGTGCCTTTGTCAGGCATACTCGAGGCAAGAAGAAGGAACTGAGGCTATTGAGGAGGACTGCTGGCGTGGTGCAGTAGCTCACGCCTGTATTCCCAGGACTTGGGGAAGCCAAGGGGGAGGTTCCCTTGAGCCTTGGAGTTTGAGACCAGCTGGGGCAATGCAGTGAGACTCTTTCTCTGTATATTAAAAAAAAAAAAAAGATCTTCATAAACCATTAAGCCCGGCGTGGGGGCTCACACCTTGGTATGGTTGGGTTTTCCCATTGCGAGTCCATCTGATGACACCGAGGTGTCCCATTTGCAGCAGGGATGGGCTGTGGGACAACTGTGACATTTCCAGAGAAAGAAGAGTGCAGCTGTAGTGACTGCTTTTTGTTTTGTTTTGTTTTCTGGCAGCTCCTGCTCTTTGCCCCTCTGCACATGGACCCCACTCCCTGGGTCTCCTGGTCCATCCTGGCTATGGTGACAGGCAGACTGAGGTATGTCCTACAGACCCTCTGAGCTTCTGGCCAGGCTCCCCCTGAAGTTTCCGGGCTGAGTACCCTACCAAGCTCCATCACTCTGATTCTCCCTCTTGGAAATCTGAAGCAGAAACAGAGATGCAGATTTCTGGGAAGAGGTGTTTGGAGCCATGTCATGGTAGCATCCCGGGAGAAGGTCTGTGGATTCCTGCTGCGGAGGTTCCCAGAGCATTTCTGCTTTTTGTATTTCGCCAGCCCCCTTTAATGGTCTGTGTGTCCCTGGTATCCTTCCAAAGAAGACCCCTCCACCTGTTTTTTTGAGATGGAGTCTCACTCTGTCTCCCAGGCTGGAGTGCAGTGGCACGATCTCAGCTCACTGCAGCCTCCGCCTCCTGGGTTCAAGTGATTCTCCTGACTCAGCCTCCCAAGTAGCTTGGGATGACAGATGCCCCCGATGATGCTTGAAGAAGCCCGTTTTTTTTTTTTTTGCTTAGCCAGGATTGAATGCTGCTACTTTCAGGGTTGCAAAGAGGCAAGGCTGCAGAATTGCACAGGGCTGCGCTCAGCCTGCCGGCGCATACCACAGAGGCACAGAGGGTGCAGAGGCTAAGCTTGAAGTGCATTGCCCCCTTCCCACCCTCCCCCCCACCCTGAGGACACACTTCTGCCAGGCACCCTGGATTCCTAGCCTGGTGCATCCTGAGAGGAGGGGCCCGAAAAAAGAGCAGCTCTGTTTCTGTGCCAGTGTCTCACTCAAAGTTGCAGTTGTTAAGACTACCAGTGTTTTGGTTTTTTTAAACTTTCATTTTAGGTTTACGGGTCCACATGCAGGTTTGTTATATAGGTAAGTTGCATGTCATGAAGGTCTAGTCTACAGATTATTTCATCATCCAGGTGGTAAGCATAGTACCTGATAGGTACTTCTTTTTTTTTTAAAGATGGAGTTTCACTCTTTTTGTCAAGGCTGGAGTACAGTGGCATGATCTCAGCTCACTGTAAACTCTGCCTCCTGGGTTCAAGCGATTCTCCTGCCTCAGCCTCCTGAGAGGCTGGGATTACAGGTGCCTGCCACCGTGCCCAGATAATTTTTGTATTTTTAGTAGAGATGGGGTATTACCATGTTGACCAAGCTGGTCTTGAACTCCTGACCTCAGCCTCCCGAAAGTGCTGGGATTAGAGTCGTGAGCCACCGTGCCCAGCCCCAGCCGGTAGGTATTCTGGATCTTCACCCTCCTCCCACCCTTCGCCTGGAAGTAGAACCCAGTGTCTGTTGTTTCCCTCTGTGTCCATATGTACTCAATGCTTAGCTTCCACTTACCAGTGAGAACATGTGGTACTTGGTTTTCTGTTCCCGCATTATTTTGCTTAGGATAATGGCCTCCAGCACCATCCATGTTGCTGCAAAGGGCATGATTTTGTCTTTTTTATGACTGTGTAATATTCCACGGTATCTATATCGATATCTGTATCCTTTTTGAGATGGAGTCTCACTCTGTCACCCAGGCTGGAGTGTGATGGTATGATCTTGGCTCACTGAAACCTCCACCTCCTGGGTTCAAGTGATTATCCTTCTTCAGCCTCCCGAGTAGCTGGGATTACCGGTGCCACCACCACACCTGGCTAATTTTTGTATTTTTAGTAGAGACCAGGTTTCGCCATGTTGGCCAGGCTGGTCTCGAACTCCTGACCTAAGGTGATCTGTCTGCCTCGGCCTCCCAAAGTGCTGGGATTACAGGCATGAGCCAGTGCACCCAGCTGCATGGCATATATGTTAACCACATTTTCTTTTTTGTGTGTGTGAGATAGGATTACCCTCTGTTGCTCAGGCTGGAGTGCAGTGGTGCGATCACAGCTCCCAGTAGCCTTGACCTCCTGGGCTCAAGTGATCCTGTGACCTCATCCTCCTGAGTAGCTGGGACTACACACCTGCACCACCATACCTGGTTTGTCTTTTAAATTTTGTATAGAGATAGGGGTCTCGCCATGTTGCCCAGGCTGATCTTGAACTCCTGGGCTCAGGCAGCCCTCCCACCTTAGCTTCCCAAAGTAGAGACAGGGTTTCACCATGTTACCCAGGCTGGTCTTGAACTCCTGACCTCGGGTGATCCACCCACCTCTGTCTTCCAAAGTGCTGGGATTGCAGGTGTGTGCCACAGTGCCTGGCTGGCCTGACCCACCTTTTCTAAGCAGGGTGGGCACATCCGTCCACATCCATTCCATGGTGGGTCCAAGGTCAGATGGACTTTCTCGAGCTTCCTGGCTCCCAGCATCCACACCATGGAGGAACAAGAACCCATCTGCTCTGTTCAAGGACGCGATGTGGCTCAGCTTACACCGCCAACGTGAGCTGGAATTTCAAACAGAAATGAATAATAAAACCTGTCCTGGCTCACGAAAGCCCTGGGGACCCAGCGGAAGCAAATACAAAACTGCTCTTTATGAACTCGGTCACAGTCCAAAGGGCATGAAATCCCATAGAAAAGACACTCCCCTCCACCTTGGAAGAGGAAATAATAACAGACATTACAACTCACTGGAGGGAGAGTCCCAACTGTGAAGGTATCAGCTTTCTAAGAACTCAAAATGAAGGCACAAGCTGGAAAATTCTATTGAACAGGTACCTTTAATATCATTAAAATGGATAAAGAGAGGGAGAAATGGAGGAGGGAAAACACAATGAAATTATGTGTATATATTATAAAAAGGCTCAAAAGAACCTCTAGGGAAAGTATTCACTGGAATTAGGCATCACTTTGATTTTCTTCTTTCAGACAAGATCTTGCTCTGTCACCCAGGCTGGAGTGCAGTGGTGTGATCATAGCTCACCGCGGCCTCCAAGTCCTGGGCTCAAACGATCCTCCTGCTTCAGCCTTCTGAGTAGCTGAGACCACAGGTGTGCACCACTGACCGTCAGGGCACTTTTTCATAGCTCCCTTTACCTTTGTGTTGATGCTCCCATCCATCAGATGTGAACACTTGTCAGAGTAAGGCTGCTCCTGGGCCCTTTGTAATGAAGGGGACGTGTTTGTGGGATGGATGGTGGGGAAAGGTGGCCTAGACCTGTGTGTGAACAGCAACATGGTTCCCTGTGCAGGAAATCAAATTCTCAACCTTGGTCTAGAACTTTGCATTTTGTTTATATAGTGGTGCAAACAATCATTAATTATTTTTGAGATGGAGTCTCACCATGTCTCCCAGGCTGAAGTGTAATGGTGTAATCTCAGCTCATTGCAACCTCTGCTTCCTGGGTTCAAACAGTTCTCCTGCCTCAGCTTCCCAAGTAGCTGAGATTACAGGCACCAGCCACCATGCCCAGCTAATTTTTGTATTTTTAGTAGAGACGGGGTTTCACCATGTTGGTCGGGCTGGGCTTGAACTCCTGACCTTGTGATCCACCTGCCTTGCCTCCATGGTGCTGGGATTACAGGCGTGAGCCACCGCGCCTGGCTACAATGATTACTATTTAACTGTTGCCAGCATCTGTGAGTTTCCTCCCTTGCCTATGAAGAGAACACCGTCTCTGAGATGCATACAACTTTGCAATCCACAAGGTGACTCAGCCTTTATCAAATGACTTCCTACAACTTTTAAAAAATGCTGCCTTGTAGAATTTTCCTGTGATGAGTGAGAGAGGAGAAGCAGAGACAAGGGCCTGATGAGAAAGGCCCAAAAGGGCTGCATAAGAAGGAGCCAGGAGAGGGAGGAAAAAGCCACGTGGGTAGAGAAAGTGCCTGGAGAAGGAGGCGAGAGGCTTCTCTGAGTGTGGGAAGGCAAGTCTGTTGGCAACAAGAGGCTCTGTAGAATACAGGAGCACTGGCCAGGAGAGGAAGAGGAGGACACAGTAAGGGTTGCTAAGGTTAGAGTTTGGAGCCTCCGACATTTCTCAAGAGATGCTAGCTAAAGATGAAAATTGCTGTTTCTTTATTACTTCGAGGAGAGTTGCTTTGTTAAAATTCCGGGAGGCTTGTATGATCCTCTGAATGCGGTTCTCAACAGAGTCGGGTGTCAGGAGGCTTCCGGCTCTCTATGTCCAGAGATCCAGGGATGGCTGCACAGGTACGTGTTCATTTGAAGATCCCTTGAACACAGGCACGCAAACCTCCTTCCCCTTGGTCTGGGTTAGTAAGGCTGTCCTTAGGGGAACAACCCTTTTGATGAGGCAGCACTTGTGGAAGGTAAATCTCAAGCTGACTGTGGTTACGATTTTGGGGGTATTTAAAACGTTTTATTGTGAAATTAACATATTGTAAAATTGACACTCCCTGCCCCTGGTAGACAGTTCCGTGAGGTTTTTGTTTGTTTGTCTGAGATGCAGTTTTGCTCTTGTCTAGACTGGAGTGCAATAGCACAACTGTGACTCACCGCAACCTCCGCCTCCCAGGTTCAAGCAATTCTCCTGCCTCAGCCTCCTGAGTAACTGGTATTACAGGCACCTGCGACCACACCTGGCTAATTTTTGTATTTTTCGTAGAGACGGGGGTTTTGCCATGTTGGCTAGGCTGGTCTCAAACTCCTGACCTCAAGTAATCCTCCCACCTCGGCCTCCTAAAGTGCTGGGATTACAGGCGTGAGCCACCATGCCTGGCCATATGAGTTTCAATGCATATGTAGATTGGTGCAACAACAGGCAGTCGGCATACAGAGCAATTCCATCAGCCTAGAACATTCCCCTATACTACCTGTCACTTTCCCCTACACATTCTTTGGCCACCTCTGATCTATTCCTCATCACGATAGTTTGTCTTTTCAAGGCTGCTATATAAATAGAATCCTCCAGTATAAATTGTTTTAAGCTTCTTCACTCAGTTTATAAGTAAACTTTTATTTATTTATTTATTTGAGACAGAGTCTTGAACTCCTGACTTCGTGATCCTCCCACCTTGGCCTCCCAAAGTGCTGGGATTACAGGTGTGAGCCACCACGACTGGCCAATCTCCTTCTTTTTTACGGTTGAATAGTATTCCATTGTGTGTGTGAACCACATTTCTAACATCCAATCATCTGTTGATGGACACAGGTTTCTTCTGAATCTCGGCAATTGTGAACGGTACTGCAGCAAGCACAGGAGAGCAGATGTCTTTTCAAGGTCCTGATGTCCTTTTTTGGGGGTGTATATCCAGTCGGGGGGTTACTGGATCTAATGGTAGCTCTAGTTTTCGTTTTCTGAGGAACCTCCAAACGGTTCTCCATAGTGGTAAGTGAACCTTGAAAGACTGGCTTCTTTCACTCAGCCTTTGAGATCTAGCCAAGTTTTTGCACCTATTAAGAGTTTACTCCTTTTTTATTGCTGAGTAGTAATCTACTGTATGAAAGTGCCACATTAAAAAAATCGATTCATCTGTTAATCCTTGTTGAAGGACATGTGGATCATTTCCAATTTTGAGTGATAATGAATAGAAATTCTATAAACATTCATATGCAGGGTTTTGTGTGTGTGTGCGTGTGTGAGACAACATAAGTTTTCTTTCTCTAAGATAAATACCCAGAAGTGATATGATTTCTCTATAAGAAATTGCCAGGCTAGCCATGGTGGCTCATGCCTGTAGTCCTAGCACTTTGGGAAGCCAAGAGGGGAGGATTGCTTGAAGCCAGGAGTTCAAGAGAAGCCTGAGCAACAGAGCGAGACCCTCTCTCCACAAAAAATAAGAAAATAATTAGCCAGATGTAGTGGCTCATGCCTGTAGTCCTAGCTACTCAGGAGGCTGAGGTGGGAGGATCACCTGAAACCAGGAGGTTGAGGCTGCAGTGAGCTATGATTGCACCACTGCACTTCAGCCTGGGTGACAGACTGAGAAAGAAATTTCCAGACAAATTCCAGAATGGTTGTACCATTTTGCAGTCTCAGCAGCAATGCACAATGCTAGTTTCTCTGCATTCATGTCAGCACTTGGTCTTTTTTCCTTAGAGCCATTCTGGTAGGTGTATCTCATGATTTTAACTTGTGTTTCCCTAATTATCACGATGGTATTTCCTCAAATGCTTGTTTGACATCTCTGTGTCCCCTTTGATGAAAGATCTGTTCAAACACCTTTGTCTATTTTTAATTGGGCTGTTTCTTAGTGTCGAATTTTGAGAATTCTTGATATGTCTTGTATACAAACCATTTGTTGAATATGTGATTTACAAATATGTTATTCCAGCCTGCAGCTTGTCATTTAATTTTCTTAATGATTTTGATGACGTCCAGGCCAAGTGTGGTGGCTCATGTTTGTAATCCCAGCACTTTGGAAGGCCAAGGTGGGAGGATTGCTTGAGGCTAGGAATTTGAGATTTGCCTAGGCAACATGGTGAAACCCTGTCTCTACAAAAAATACAAACATTAGCTGTGTGTGGTGGTGAACACCTGTAGTCCAGCTACCACAGTCCTGCCGAGGAAGGAGGATGACATGACACAGAGGTCGAGGCTGCAGTGAGCCGTGATTGTAAAAATCACTCTAGACTGGGTGGCAGAGTGTGACCCTTTCTGAAAAAATAAAAATAATAATTTTGATAAAGTCTAGTTTATTCCTTTTTTCCCCCATGGATTGTGCTTTTGGTTTCTTGTCTAGAAACTCCTTGCCGACTTTAGGTCTTAAACATTTTCTCCTGTGTGTCCTAAAAGTTTTACAGTTTTATATTTAGATCTGTCATATATTTTGAGTTAATTTTTTATAAGGTGTGAGATTGTGGTTGAGGTTCATTTTGTACATGGATGTCTAATTGTTTAATGTTATTTATAGGAAGAGCTATCCTTTCTCATTGAATTGTTTTTGTATCTTTGTCAAAGGTCAATTGGCATTTTGTGTAGAACTTGTGAGTACTGAGAAAAAAGGGTCAACTGGATGTCAGTGTGGATCTGTTTCTGGACCCTCTTTTCTACTGATCTATGTGTCTATTGCTTCACCAATACCACACTGTCTTAATTACTGTAGTGATACAGTAAATCTTAGAATTGTCAGTAAGATCCCTCCAACATCACTCTTACTTTTAAATTAAATTAAATTAAGTTTTTTGAGCCAGGGTCTTGCTCTGTCACCCAGATTAGAGTACAGTAATGTGATCAGGGCTAACTGCAGCCTCAACCTCCCAGGCTCAAGCAATCCTCCCACCTCAGCCTCCCATGTAGTTGGGATTGCAAGTGTGCATCACCATGCCAGCTAATTTATTTTAATTTTTTGTACAGATGGGGCTCTCAATTATGTTGCCCAGGCTGGTCTTGAACTCCTGGGCTCAAGTGATCCTCCTGCCTCAGCCTCCCAAAGTGCTGGGATTGCAAGTATGAGGCACTACACTTAGCCACTTTTTTTTCTTCTTTTTTTGAGACAGAGTTTTTCTCTGTTGCCCAGGCAGGAGTACAGTGGTGCAATCTCAGCTCATTGCAACCTCCGCCTCCCAGGTTCAAGCCTCAGCCTCCTGAGTAGCTGGGATTATAAGCGCCTGCCACCATGCCCAGCTAATTGTGTGTGTGTGTGTGTGTGTGTGTGTGTGTGTGTTTAGTAGAGACAGGGTTTCACCATGTTGGCCAGTCTGGTCTCCAACCTCCAACCTCAGGTGATCCACCTGCCTTAGCCTCCCAAAGTCCTAGGATTACAAGCGTGTGCCACTGTGCCTGGCCAGCAACTCTTACTTTTTTAAAAAACAGTTTTGGCTATTCTAGGTCTTTAACTTTTAATATACATTTGCATATAAACTGATATTATTTTTATTGATTGGAATTGCAGTTAATTTGAGAAGAACTGACTTGTCTACTACGTTCAGATTTCTAATTCATGAACATGGCATATCTTTTCATTTATTGATGTCTTCATTGATTTCTTTCATTGGTATTTTCTAGTTTTCAGCAACAGGTGCTGTATGTGTTTTGTTAGATTTATCCTTGAGCATTACATTTTTGAAAGTTGTTTGAAATATTAGTTTTAAAATTCTAGTTTCCAAAGGCTGATTGCTGATATGTAGAAACATAATTAATGTTGTGGCTGGTTTTGTATCCTGCAACCCTGCTGAGATTACTTACTAGTTTTAGGAGATTTTCTGTGTAGGTAATCTTGTTGCCTATGAGTAAGGACAGTTTTATTTCTTCTTTCCGGTCTGTACGCCTTCTGTTTTTTTCTTGCAATATTTTACTGACTTTAATTTCCACTCTGATCCTGAATAAGAATGGTAGGAGTGAACATCCTTGCCTGGTTTCTAATGTTAAAGGGGAAAACATTCCATTTTTCCCATTAATGCGAGGTGAGCTTACAGGTTGTTTTTTTAATAGCCTGTATCAGCCTGAGGAATTTTTACTTGTAGTTAACTGAGAGTCATTGTTGTTTTAAGAATCACAAAGTCAAATATTTGTTCTGCATCTGTTCTTATGGTTACATGCTTTTTCTTCTTTCAACTGTACTTTGACCCATGCTTGGGTGGGTACGGATGGAGAGAAGGGAAAATGAAGAATGGCAAGAAGGAGACAAAGAATTCAGCAGAAGTGGTGAGTTGGAGCAAAAAGTAGCTAGAAGAAATGAAAGGTTTCCCCTCACTAAAGAATTCTGATGTATTGGAAAGATCTTAGAATTCTTACTATACAAGGAATGACGCTCAATGGTTTTTATTGAAATCCTAAAGGACGAGGTTGACTTCAGTGGTCTGGAGGGCTTGGGGACACTTGAGGCAGATGACTTCTAGGGGAAATGTGTCCCCTCTACTCTTAGTTCAGCCTTTTGGGTGCAAATTCATCAATGTATGATGATTCATCAATGTATGATTCATCAGTGAAGCTTCCAAGTCATCACCCAGGTCAATGCCCAGCATATGACAAGTACTTTATAGACACCTGTCAGATGAGTGGCTGAGTAACATGTCATCAAATAGACAGTATGACATTGTGATTAGAAGCATGAGTTAGGAGCCAGAATACCTGAGCTGAACTGTGCTCTACCTATGTAAACTGCAGGAAGTTATTAAAGCTCTTTATAACCTGGGCAACATGGAGAAACTCCGTCTTTACAAAATGTACCCAAAATTAGACAGATGTGGTGGTGTGTGCCTGTGGTCCCAGCTGCTCGGGAGGCTTAGGTGGGAGGATCACTTGAGCCCAGGAGGTTGAGGTTGCAGTGAGCCGTGATCGCACCTCTGCACTCCAGCCTAGGTAATAGAGCGAGACCCTATCTCAAAAAAAAAAAAAAAAAAAAAAAGCTCTTTTTGCTGCAGTTTCCTCATCTTTAAATGAACATAGTAAAGGCAGGCACTTTGTAGGGCTTAGTAAAGTGCCTGGCCCATAATGAGTGCACCTGTCAGATGAGTGGCTGAGTAAAATGTCATCAGATAGACAGTATGACATTGTAAGTCTGTTTTTTTGATTATTCGCATTTGTATTTGGGATTGAACAGTCTGCCATTACTCTTTCCTTACATTTCCAGCATTTTCTTCCTTCTTTCTCTCTCTCTCTTTTAAGGTAAAGCTTAAAAGACTTTCTCCTATAGCCATAGAACTGTAAACAACTTTAGTGGCAATCTAATTCAAGCTTCGTGCTTTCTGTGTGAGGAAAGGGAGGCTCAGAGAAGCCAAGTGGTCCCCCCTCATCCGGAGCATCTGGGGCTTCAGTCACCTGGAGCATCATTGCATCATCTGGGCTTGAGCTTGTTCTCCTCTGGCCACAAATCAATTGCAGCTCAGGACCCTCAAAACAACCCAAATATTTAATGTTTGCACTGTTGGAAGCTACGGTACAGGTGCCCATTCAGGACCAGGAGACTTGTAGCTTGAAACATGGCAGTTACCCCATCAGCGTGTTGAAAAGCGGACAGGCAGATACAGGACAAGGGCAGCGGCAGCAAACACTCCTCCAGGAGAGAAGGTTGTTCTGAGACCTGGAGGAAGCCCTCCTTTCCTGGCGGGTTCCCCAATAGGTCACATGTAACTGGAGGCTGCCTTTGTCACCCCTCATCTTTCCTGGCACCTGAAGCCATTTAGTTGCCTCTCCAGCAAAGGACTGAGGCAGCAGTCTTGCAAATCTCCGTGACTCACCTTGTCCTGCCCAGAATGCATTTGGTGCTCATGTCCATAAATATTTCAGGCTGTGCTGCTTAGTTATTAATAGAGTGAAATGAAAGAGAATTCTTTAGCCTCTCCCCTTCTCTACAGATTGAAAACGTGAGCCAGAATTTGAAGGGCTGGAGTGACAAGGGTTTAAGGACTTGGGATGCTGGGGGTGGAGCTGCAGGTGGATTTGCTCTGTCTTATCCTTATTGTGACAAAAAGGGCCCTGGTCCCTTGTCCCAAAGAACCACAGAGTTACCCTCTTTCTCCTGATCCCTGGGAAGTGGGGCATGAATGTTGTCCTGTGATACCTGTCCCTGTCCCTGGCATGGAGCACACTGCCCAGCCTGCACAAATGCAAAATGGGACCAACTGCAATGTCCACCTTTAGAACAGTGAGCCTGGGGAGCCCCCTTGGAGTCCCAACTTGGGACAGGGGCTGGTGACCTGGCAGCCACTCTCAGACAGTCCCACCTGATGGCCTGCAAGGGTGGTGGCCACGTAGATGGTTGACTTTCCTCCCTGCCCCCTCTTCCTTTCTTGGTGTGAAAGAACTAGCATTTGGGGGTGGCCATGGGCAACAAATTCCCCACCGTCAAAACCCCATGTGGGTTGGCAGCAGCCAGGAAGAACCAGCTTTTTTTCTGGGAGTAGAAGCAAGAGTGATGGCTTATCTCATTGTTCCTTTTCATCAGGGACATAATACATCCCACAAAGCTCAGGCCCCGCACCGAAGAAACCAATTACACTGCACAGCATTTTTAGTGCTCTGAGTCTCCGAGCGAAGGAAACAGGTGAGACACTGTCGTCATGGTAGCTAGTCACAAACTGCCTCTTAAAATAGTATCCACGCTCTGTAAGTAGGGGCTTCATGCTTTAAGACTAATAACGAAGACATCCACTCACCAGGCCTCCTCTTGGGTTTGTGTGGGAGCTGCCGCTCGACCTGGCTCTGGGAAGAACCACTTTCCCGAATGAAGAGGACTGAAGCTCCCAGCTCCGGGCCACAACCTGGGATTGAGGCTCAGGTATTGCTACTCTTGTCTATTCAATTCATTAAAAGGTCCTCGGTGATGCGGTAGATGCTGTTCTAGGCCCTGGAGATGCAGCCGTGAACAGGAGGGCAGGGCGCTGACCTTACAGTGCTTATGTTCCAGCGGTGATGGACACAAAGATGTCACTCGGGGAGTGAAGATGAAAGAAAGACCAAGTGTGTATGTGTGCATGTGGGTCAGGGGGTCCTTTTTTTTTTTTAAAATAGGGAATGCATCAGCAAAGGCCTCTCTGAGATCTGAGACATGAGAATGAAGTGGGCATTTGGAGCCCTTGATTACTGGGGGATGTGCTTACTCTAGGTAGCACAGTGGCCTCACACACCTGGTGTCTCCCTGCCTTTCTTCACTCCACCCGGGGCAGGCAGACCTACCGACCTGACTGGTAGAGTTCAGGAGAATACACAAAATACCAACTCTCCCGCTTGGCAGCAAGCTGCTCACGGGGTGCAGGACTCCGCTCTGAGTCTTATCTCGGTGACACTGGCCTGTGGTGCCGTGTGGTTGGGCTCAGGTCTGGCTGAAGAGGTTGCATTTGGTGTTTACATCAAGCTCCATCCTCCAACCTGGACTTCGTGACTCATGAAAGGGAGTAATGAGCTTCTTTTGTCCTTATGATGGGTCTTATTTCTCCATGTGCTCAGACTCAAGCTGGGAAGAGAAGGGCTTTTATCGGGTCCCTCCAAAGACTCCAACTTTGGGGAAGGCGGCTCCACGTGAATTGAAGAGAACGTGCAATGGTTCTGAGGTGGGAGGGAACCTGGCCCATTTGAAGATGACGAAGAGGCCAAGTCTGGCCAGGACAGACTGGTCAACTAGGAGAGGGTCAAGGAAGAAGAGAGCAAGCTAGGGCAGATGGATGGTCTCAGAGGTCTTGGGGTAGAGTTATATTTTAAGCTCATTTGAGAGGACTTTAAGCACAGGGGTAGCATGGTCTAGTTTTTCCTTTCTCTTTCTTTCTTCCTTCCTTTTTTTTTTGAGACGGAATCTGGCTTTGTCACCCACACTGGAGTGCAGTGGCACGATCTTAGCTCACTGCAAATCCAACGATTCTCCTGCCTCAGCCTCCCGAATAGCTGAGATTACAGGTTCCTGCCATGGTGCCTGGCTAATTTTTGCATTTTTAGTAGAGATGGGGTTTCACCACGTTGGCCAAGCTGGTCTTCATCTCCTGACCTCAGGTGATCCGCCCACCTCGCCCTTTCAAAGGGCTGGGATTACAGGTGTGAGCCATCACACTCATGGCAGCTTGGAGAAGGTCTTAGTGAAGATGGAGAGAGAGGTCGCTGTAATCTGGAGGTGGACCCACGAGGACTTGTTGAAAGGTTGGAAGCGTTTGGGGAAAGAAGATTAGCGCAAACCTAGGCAGTCAAAGGGGGCCAGCAATGCTGACTCACGCCCCAGACTCAGTGAGGCTTGGGCAGCTCATCCAATGGCCAATGGAGAGGCACAAGGCTTGGTGGGGAGCCCACATCACATGAGGACACAGGGTGAAGAGCCAGGAGGAAAGCTGGCCAGCCCTAGTGTCTTAGTCTATTTTCTGTTGCTTAGATTAGTTTGGCACTTTTGCACCAACAAATAACAGAATACTTTTTGTTTTTTTGGGACGGAGTTTCACTTTTCTCACCCAGGCTGGAGTGCAATGGTGCGATCTTGGTTCACTGCAACCTCTGCCTCCTGGTTTAAAGCGATTCTCTCGCCTTAGCCTCCCAAGTAGCTGGGATTACAGGCACGTACCACCACGCCTGGCTAATTTTGTATTTTTAGTAGGTTTCACCATGTTGGTCAGGCTGGTCTCGAACTCTTGACCTCAGGTGATCCACCCACCTCGGCCTCCCAAAGTGCTGGGATTACAGGCATGAGCCACTGCGCCTGGCCTAATACCAGAATACGACACTGGGTAATTTGCAAAGAAAAGGAATTTCTTACAGTCCTGAAGGCTGAGAAGTCAGAGTTCAAATGGTACATCTAGTGAAGGCCTTCTTGCTAGTAGGGACTTTCTGAAGAGTCCCTAGGCAGTACAGGGCATCATACGATGACATAGTTTGGATATTAATCCCTGCCCAAATCTCATGTTAAGTTGTGATCCCCAGTGTTGGAGGTTAGGCCTGGTGGGAGGTGCCTGAATCATGGGGGCAGATCCCTCATGAATGGCTTGGGTCATCCCCTTGGTGATAAGAGAGCTCTTACTTGGAGTTCACACAAGAACTGGTCATTTAAAAGCACGGGCCCTCTCCCCACAGTGGCTCCCTCTCTGTCCTTCTCGCTCAGGCTCTGGCCATGCAGTGTGCCTGCTCCCCATTTCCCTTCCGCCATAACTGGAGGCTTCCGGGGGCCTCCCTAGAAGCTGAGCAGATGTCAGACCCTGCTTTCTGTAAAGCCTGCAGAGCTATTAGCCAATTAATAGCTTGATAAATTACCCAGCCTCAGGTATTTCTTATTTTTTCTTGAGACGGAGTCTTGCTTTGTCACCAGGCTGGAGTGCAGTGGCAGGATCTTGGCTGACTGCAACCTCCGACTCCGTGGTTCAGGAGCCACTGCACCTGGTCCTCCTCGGAGTCTTACACCAGCGTCACTTTCCTCACTGAATGCTCCTTTCCCTTCTCTCCACTCTTCTTGTCATTAACTCTCAAATTGTCAGAACAGCCGCTCTAAGAAATAGAGGCTGAATCACACAGTTCTCCACTTAGAGAATCATTCAGTGCTAAGTTTTATAAATAATAATAAAAACTTCTTAGCATCACGTTCAGGGACCTCTGTATTCCTCCCATGCTGTTCCAGTTACTACGGGTGCAAAACCAGCCACCCCAAAACTCAGTGGCTTAAAACAACGGGATTTGTGATGCATCTAGATTGTGTGGGTGAGGAGTTCAGAAACAGCTTGGCAGAGTCGTCCTTGCTTGGGGTCTTTCCCTTTGCTCTCAGAGGTCAGCTGCAGCTTGATGATTCTTGGAGTCATCTGGACACTTGATGGTGGCTGGAAGATCTGGTCTCAAGGTGGCCCACTCACATGGCTGGGGAGTCGGTGCTGCCTGCTGCCTGAGGGGATCTCAGTTTCTTTCCACACAGCTGCTTGAGCAACCCCATGGTATGGCAGTGAGCTTCCCCCAGAGTAAATGATACAGAAGGCTAAGTAGAATCTGTGATGTCTTTCATGATTTAGCCTTGGAAGTCTCACCTTGTTAGAGTAGACAGATAGCTAGACATGAGCAAGAGTAGGGACGTTACTGGGTATATACCAAAGAAATATTGATCATTCTATTATAAAGGTACATGCATGCAAATGTTTACCACAGCACTGTTCACAATAGCAAAGCCATGGAATCGACCTCAAGGCCCATCAGTGATAGACTGGATCAAGAAAATGTGATACATACATACCATGGAATACTACACAGCCAGAAAAAAGAGAGATCATGTTCTTTGCAGGGACACAGATGGAGCTGGAGGTCATTTACCTAAGTGAATTAACACAGGAATGGAAAACCAAATACTGGTTCTCATTTATAAGTGGAAGCTAAATGATGAGAACACATGAACTCAAAGAAAGGAACAGCAGACACTGGGGCATCCTGGAGGGTGGAGGGTGGAGAGCAGGAGAAGGAAGAGGATCAGGAAACATAACTAATGGGTATCAGGCTTAATACCTGGGTGATGACATAATCTGTACAACATACCCCCGTGACACAAGCTTACTTACAACAAACCTACACCTGTACCCCTTGAACTTAAAATAAAAGTTAAATTAAAAAAAAAAAAAAAGGCTTGGCGCAGTGGTTCATGCCTGTAATCCCAGCACTTTGGGAGGCCGAGGTGGGAGGATCACTTGAGCCTAGGGGTTCGAGACCAGCCTGGGCAGAATAGAGAAACACCAGTCTCTATAAAAAATACAAAAATTAGCCAGGCATCATGGCATGCATGTGTAACCTCAGCTACTCAGGAGGCTAAAGTGGGAGGATCACTTGAGCCCAGGAAGTTAAGGATGCAGAGTCATGATTGTGCACTCCACGCTGGGCAACAGAGCAAGACTGTGTCTCAAAAACCAAACCAACACAAAACCTGCAAATAAATTACATAGCCATGAGGCAGGATTTGTATGCGGCACGAATAATCAGGAAGGGTCCCACAAGCCTAGGGTGGGAATTAGGCAGAGACAAGGCAGAGACCTAAGGGAGGGCCAAAAAACTAGACAAAGAGAACAGAGACTTAGGGCAGAGGTGGGAACTTCAAAAAAGAGTCCAACATCCTCAAAACCCAACACAGAGGCTGGGTGCGGTGGCTCACGCCTGTAATCCCTGCAGTTTGGGAGGCTGAGGCGGGCAGATCATCTGAGGTCAGGAGTTTGAGACCACCCTGGCCATCATGGTGAAACCCCATCTCTACTAAAAACACAAAAATTAGCCGGGCATGGTGGCATGCACCTGTAATCTCAGCTACTTGGGAGGCTCAGGCAGGAGAATTGCTTGAACCTGGGAGGCAGAGGTTGCAGTGAGCTGAGATGGTATCATTGCACTCTAGCCTGGGTAACAAGTGTGAAAAACTCCATCTCAAAAAACAGCAAAATACCCGGCACAGAACTATCACGCTGCTGTTGGCTCACTGCCCTCAGCTGCCAGCTCTGCCTCACCTCTGCAGTGTACTTTCCTTTAAACAACCCTCTGCTCCTTATTTCCCTTCAATACATTCTCTATTTGGCTAAATTAGTGGTTTTGGCCAAAATCTTTCTCTCGAGATGACAAAGAACCAAGAAGTCCTATACTTCCCGGTACCTGCGTCACCACTTCTGCCAAATTGCATTGGCTAAAGCAATTATAAGGGGTCTGCCTAGGTTCAAGGAGAGGGAACGTAGACTCCTGCCTGTTGATGGAGACCAATATCATATCCTGAGAAGAGCAAAGAGGATGGGATCTGTACAGGCGTAGCCATTCCTGCAAGATGCGCTGGGCCACGCAGGCCCATCTCCCACGTTTCTCCTGGCACCTGAGCTTCATGCTGGCTGCGTGCTTTCACAGCTTTGCTTCTTTACTTAGCTGTCCCATAGAACAGAAATACCGGCACCCACTTCATCCTGCAAGGGCAGCTGAAACAACGCTTCCTGGATGAAGCTTTTCTGATTCTTTGTGGCAAAATGAATTCTCCCTGTGCAATCCCTCTGCACCCTGGTGGGACCTCTAGTTAGCAAGTTTTCCTCTCTGCTAGATTATTATTATTATTTTGAGAGAGTCTCACTCTGTTGCCCAGGCTGGAGTGCAGTGGCACGATCTTGGCTACTTGACTGCAATATCCGCCTCCCAGGTTCAAGTGATTCTCATGTTTCAACCTCCCAAGTAGCTGGGACTACAGGTGCACACCACCACACCAGGTTAATTTTTGTATTTTCAGTAGAGACAGGGTTTTGCCATGTTGGCCAGGCCAGTCTTGAACTCCTGACCTCAAATGATCCACCCACCTCAGCCTCCCAAAGTGCTGGGATTACAGGCATGAGCCACCGTGCCCAGCCTCTGCTGTATTATTTAAGAGTCTATCTCCCGGCCGGGTGCGGTGGCTCAAGCCTGTTGTCCCAGCACTTTGGGAGGCCGAGGCGGGTGGATCACGAGGTTAAGAGATTGAGACCATCCTGGTCAGAATGGTGAAACCCCGTCTCTACTAAAGATGCAAAAAATTAGCTGGGCATGGTGGCGCGTGCCTGTAATCCCAGCTACTCAGGAGGCTGAGGCAGGAGAATTGCCTGAACCTGGGAGGTGGAGGTTGCGGTGAGCCGAGATCGCGCCATTGCACTCCAGCCTGGGTAACGAGAGCGAAACTCCGTCTCAAAAAAAAAAAAGAGTCTATCTCCCTACCGTGAGACTGTGAAATTCATCTTCCAGCCTCCATTTCCTAGCGCATAGTCTAGAAGTTCTGAATAATTGTTTGCCAGTTGCATGTACATCTGAGAGATGGCCAGGGGAGAGAGGCAGTCACGGCAGGGTGGCCACACCATGATTCTTTGTGGAGCATCAGCTTCTAGACCCATAAGGCCTGTTCTGAGCTTAAGTCAAGGACCTGCTGTTGAGGAGATTCTACATATTGGTGTCAAAGCTGGTCCTGGTGTCCCAGATCCCACAATTAAGGTGAATATGCAGAACCGTGTCTGTGAAGCAGAATTGCCCCAGGCTGGCTCTGGAGTGAGGAAGTCGTGGAGGAAAAATTCTTAGTTACGGTTATACTCGCTCAGCCTTGACTACAGCCTGGCACTGCATATTCATGGTCTCAAATTTAACATATCCAAAATATTCTGTTTCTTCCACCCAGTCTCACCCTGGCCCCAGCCTCCGCCTCCCCCAGTCTTCCCATTTCAAGAAACAGCCTCCTTTTCTCAGGCTGAAAACCCCCTTGACCACTCCTCGAATCCCTTCCTGTGTTTACACCCCACATGCTGGCCATCCTCAAGTCCCAGCAGCATCACCTCTGAGGAAACGCTGAATCTGACCACTTCTTGTCTTCTGCCCTGGTACCCAGGCCAAGCCAACACCATCTCATCCAGACAGCTGCAGAGGCTCCAGATCATTCTCTGCTTCCATGTTCTCCTCTCTCATCCTGACCATCCGCACAATAGCTCAAGTGACCTTTCTGAAACACACATCAGATCGCATCACTGTGTATGCAGACACCTTCCAAGGACCATCCATAACCCTGGGGGTGAAATCCTAGCTCCATGCCTGGCGTGAAGGCCCTGATGATGTGCCTTTGGTTACCCCTTCTGGTGGCTCTCCAGGCTCCAGCCACATTGGCCTTCCCCTTTTTCTCAAGTATGCCAACCTTATTCCCATCTCCAGCACTTTGCACTGGCTGTTCCCCATCCTTGAATGCTGCTCCTCCCACCTCATGATTGACTCTTTCAAAAAGAAGCTCCAGCCTCTGGTCCCCCTCCCCCACTACCCTGCTTTCCCTTCCTCTATTGTTTTTATCCCTCCTAGAATTATGATACGTAACTTGGTTGACTTTGTAAACAAAAAATAAAATCCTAAGCCCCCCAGCTGACTGAATGGACCCCCACCCCCAATCTTGGACAGGGGGATCTCAAAGAAAACCTGAAAACCTAGTTCAGGCCATGATGGGAAGGGAGGTTAGACACACCTTGCTCTACCCTCTCCATTTTGGAGTTTAGGTGCAACTGACCAGCATTAACATTAAAATAGAGACCATGAGATAGAAAAAAAAGACTCTTTGTAGTAATAAGGTATCCAACTCCAGCCTGACCCTGGTGCAGTGTCCCATGATAAATCGCAGAGATAAAATACTCTGATTTCCTTCAGAGTATTTCCTTCAGAGTATTTTATCTCCAAATGTATTTGTCTGACGTATTTTGGAATGGCCCTGCAAAGCTGTCTCTTGAAGGGGAAAGTTCGCATTCTGTAAGAATCCCCTGCCCTTTCCAGATCTACTCCTGATCTAGGAGAGAATTCACTGAGTCTGACACCTTTTACGGTCTGATAAGATACAGTTCCCATTGATTTTCTCTGAAGCCTGCTACTTAGAGTCTTCACCTACATAACAAGAACCTCAGCTTCCACAACCCTCCTTAGCCTAACTCGAGTATTTCTTTCTCCGGACTCCAACTCTTCAGGGAAAGCTTTACTCTTTCAACCAACTGCCAGTTAGAACATCTTTGAATCCACCTGTGACCTGTAAGCTCCTCCTGCCCCCTTGAGATGTCCTACCTTTGCCAGTGAACTAACGCATACCTTCCATACATTTATTTATGTCTTTGGCTGTAACTTCTGTCTTCCTAAGATGTATAATACCAAACTGTAACCCACCTACCTTGGGCACATGTTCTCAAGACCTCCTGAGGCAGTGTCATGGGCCATGGTCACTATTTTTGGCTTAGAAGGAAACTCCTCAGATATTTTACTGAGTTTGGATTTCTTATTTTTACTTTTTGGTCACCAACTTGCTTGTTGCGTGTCTCTTCCAGTAAAATATCAAGTCCAGGAGGCCAGAGACTGTGTCTATCCAGGGCTGTGTTGTCCCCTGGCACCTCTTCTGTCTGCAGCAGGCTTTGCACTGGGTGTACGTTTGGGAAGGCAAGTGGCAGGAGGACGCCGACTCACCTAGGGCAGGAAAGGAAAGGGGCAGTACAAGAAACAACAAAATGGAAAAAAAAAAGCTGGGATCAAGAGAGAACACCTGGTCTCCCTGAAGGAGCTCTGCTGCCTTCTGGGGGTATAATACTAGCTTCTGTAGAAATGGGGTCCTTATCCTTTGGGGCTTGCTCCTTGGGATCCTGTATGTGTGGGGGCCTCAGGGTTGGGGAGCTTCCAGGGGAATGCAGAACTGCCCCCACATGTTCTGCAGCCCCTTGGCTGTTTTCTCCCTTCCCAGAGGAGCCTTGGAACTGGATCTCGCCCAAACATAGCTACCCCCTCAGCTTCTGTTCATCTTTTGGCAGGGGGATTACATTCACCAAGCTGAGCAACTAGCGACCTCCTTCAGCATCCACTGGGGAAGAAATCATTAATGCCAGGCACAAAGAAACTCCAGTTTGCAGTCCTTTGCAGCCATTCCCAGCATTTGGATAATGAGTGTGTTTCACACAGTTTGTAGGAGGCAGGTCTTCAGGAGAGGGGAGTAAAGAAGTCCCTGACCTTTCAGCACAGGCAGCCCTGCCGATTTCAGGCAGTGTGACCTGTGACCTGAAGTCTTCCTCTGGAAATGAGGGTGGTTGTCCCGACCCGCTTACCTGGCAAAGGTGGTGGGAAGCAGCACTTGTGATGATGGACAGGTCACTGCTTGGTAAACAGGTTCTTTGCACTCTATCTTTGGTTGCACCTCACTTCGATAATCCCCTTTGCAATGTACGGAGCTTGGCTCCAGTTTTCCTGAAAGAACTTGAGCTTGGCTTTCCCTCAGCACAGCCATGTAGTTCGTGATTGTTGTTACCACCTTGGTAACTCCAAATAACAAGAAGGCCAAGGCTCATATACAGACCTCGCTTGCCCCTTAGACTTGGAGTTGATGTTCAAGAGGAACATGGGAAGTTGCTGTGGCCTTTTCAAGGGTCCCTGGAACTCTCCTCTTCCTTACTTTTCTTGTGAATCTCCAGGTAGAGGGAGATGGTCAGGTCCTACTCTGTCCCAGTAAGTGGATGAGGCAGGGGAACCAGGGGCCCTCCACAGGGGGATGGGTAGTGGCCCTAGGACAGGTTGGGAAGGGCACAGAGACAGGCAGAGGGGGGTCTGGCACCTGATGGGTCTCAGTTGCTCAGGGAGACCATGAGAGACACACAGTATTTCTATTTTTCAAGAGGAAAATTGAGTGTTCTCTGTCCCAGGACTGTCCTGGATGAAACAGCTTCTCATCTTTGCCCTGCAGTGACTCCAGGCTTCTCTCAGAGTCTCTGGGCCCCAGTCTATTCTTGGGGGCTGGAACCCTTGCACTGAGAATGCTAACCAGCAAGGTAAGTTATGAGTTTGTTGTCTTGATACTCTGAAGGAGTGTGTGTGTGTGTGTGTGTGTGTATGTGTGTGTTTGAATGAGTATCTGTCTCACACTCATTGTCCATCCATCCATCATTTATTCATCTATCCATTTGATCATTAACAAACTTGTACTGGGTTCCCAACATACAGGACTCCCGCACTTGTTAGCTTCCGACCTTTCCAACCTAACCTTGTAAAGTCAGGCCTCTCATCCCATCTTACTGCCGGTGCCACTGAGGCTTAGGGAGGCTGTGAGCTTCCAGGGTCATCCAGTGACGTCATGTAGGGTTGGGATTAGAACCTAGATATTCTGCCTCAAAGTTGACTGTTCTATCTAACACAATAGTAGTTATCATGATGTCCAGTTTTTGCTTTGTGTCAGAGCCTGAACCAGGGTGTCTATGCATATCTTATTTAATGCCCACTGCTCTGGTTTGGAGGTGTGTTCCCTCCAAAATTCACATTGAAACTGATCTTCCATTGTGGTGATATTGAGAGGTGGGGTCTTTTCGGGAAGTGATTAAATCACGAGGGCTCCCACCCTCATGAGTGGATCAATCCTCTTTATTTCTCTTCTTCTCCTGCTCTTCTGCCATATGAGGACTCAGTGTTTGTCCCCTTTCCATCCCTTCTTCCATGTAAGGACACCTGGATGGTACCATCTATGAGCAATGGGCCTTCTCCAGACACCAAACCAACCGCTGCCTTGATCTTGGACTTCCCAGCCTCTAGAGCTGTGAAAAATAAATCTCTGTTCTTTATAAATAAACCAGTCCATGGCCTTTTGTTATAGCAGTTGGTACAGTTTGGACATTTGTCCTTTCCAAATCTCATGTGAAAAAGTGATCCCCAATGTTGGAGGTAAGGTCTGGTGGGAGGTAGTTGGGTCATGAGGTTGAATCCCTCATGAATGGCTTGGTGCCATTTTCTCAAGAGCGAGTGAGTTCTCACTCTTAGTTCCCATGACAACTGATTCTTAAAAAGAGTCTGGCACTTCCTCTTGCTCCCTTTCTCATCATGTGATATGCCAGCCACCTTCACCTTCCACCATGAGTAGAAACTTCCTGAGGTCCTTACCAGAAGCAGATGCTGGCACCATGCTTCTTGTACAACTTGCACAACTGTGAGCCAAATAAACCTCTTTTCTTGATAAATTACCCAGCAAATGGAATAAGACACCTACCTTTTAAGGTGAACAGCATTCACCCAACTTTACAGCTGAGTCAATAGAGGCCAAGAAGGGTTGAATGATCTGCCCAAGGCTATTCAGTGTGGAAGTCTTGGTATGGAATCTGCAGCCTGGGGAGAGGGAGAAACTTCTCTTGGAGAACAGAGGCTATGGTAGCTCTCTCAGGCCTCCAGAGGTCCAGCCAGCCCTAGGCTACAGCATTCTGGAGAAGTCTTTGATAGAGGAGGTCCTGTAAGCCCAGGGGGTCCAGGGATACACAGAAGATAAAAGAGACCCAAGGCCTGGGCAGCTCATGTTGCCTACTTGCCCATGTCAAGAACAGACATTGTGCTGGGCACGGTTGCTCACACCTGTAACCCTGGCACTTCGGGAGGCTGAGGCAGGTGGATCACCTGAGGTCAGAAGTTCGAGACTAGCCTGGCCAACATGGTGAAACCCTGTCTGTATTTAAAAATATTAATAATAAAAAGATTGGCCGTGTATGGTGGTGGCATGTGCCATATATCCAGCTCTACCTAGAAGGCTGAAGCAGGAGAATTTGAAACTGGCATTTGAACTCTCCTTTTCTGAATTGAAGGTCATATCTGTGCTACGAATTCCGCCCTCCACCCCATGCTTACAATGCATAGTTAAAAACCAGCTTTTTTGAATATAATTCACATGCCATGCAATTTGTTGCACACCTCATTGGGTTTTAGTATATTCACAGTTTGTCACCACAATTTTAGAACATTTTCATCACTTAAAAAGGAAGCCCCACCTTTTATCTGTCACCCTCAAGCCCAATAGCCCTGGGCCCTAGGCAAGCACTAAGCTACTTTCTGTCTCTGTAGATTTGCTGATTCCAGACACTTCATATAAATGGAATCATGCGATATATGGTCCTTTGTGGCTGCCTTCTTTCACTTAGTGTGACGTCTTGAGATTCGTCTACACTGTAGAATGCATCAGTACTTCACTTTTTTCTATGGCTGAATAATATTCCATGGTGTGGATAGCCTACATGTTGTTTATTCATTCATTAGCTGATAGTCATTCAAGTTGTTTCCACTTTGGGCTATGGTGAATAGTGCTCCTAATGCATTTTTACCATTTTTAATTTGATTTTTAAAAATTTTTATCGATTTGGGGGTACATGTGCAGGTGTGTTACATAACAGTGAAGTCTGGGCTTTTAGTGTACCTATCACCCAACTAGTTCACACTGTACCTCCTAGGCAGTATTTCATCCTTCAGCTCCCTCCTGTCTTCTCATTGTTTGCAGTCTCCAATGTGTATAATTCCACTCTATATATCTGTGTGTACCCATTGTTTAGCTCTTACTTTTAAGAGAGAAAACATAGTTTTTGACTTTTCGTTTCTGAGTCATTTTATTTAGGACAATGGACTTCAGTTCCATCTGTGCTGCTGCAAAAAACGATTTCATCCTTTTTCATGGCTGAGTAGTATTCCATGGTGTGTGTGTGTGTGTGTGTGTGTGTGTGTGTGTGTAGCAACATCTTTGAGCAATGGGGCTCTTCCAGACACCAAACCAACTGCTGCCTTGATCTCCGACTTCCCAGCCTCTAGAACTGTGAGAAATAAATTTCTGCTTTTATAAATGACCCAGTCTATGATCTTTTGTATACACACACACACACACCATGAACTACTACTACAACCAAATGTGAGATGTATATGAGAGACATGTACATATCTCACATTTTCTTTATCCAAACATCTGTTGGTAGACACTTAGGTTGATTCCATGACTGTGTATTGTGAATAGTGCTGTGATTAACATATGACAGGTGTTTTTTGATAAGATTTCTTTTCCTTTGGCTAGCTACCCAGTAGTGGGATTATAGGACTGAAGGATATTTCTGTTTTCACTTTTTTTGAGATGTCTCCATACTGTTTTCCATAGAGGTTGTACCCATTGACATTCCCACCAGTGATGTATATGCATTCCCTTTTCTCTGCATTTTTTCCAACATCTGTTGTTTTATGACTTTTTACTAGTGGCCATTCCGACTGGAATGAGATGGTGTCTCACTGTGGTTTTAATGTGTACTTTTCTGATGATTAGGATGCTGAGCATTGTTTCCAATGTTCTTTGGCTGCTTGTTTGTCTTCTTTTGAAAAATGTCTGTTCCCGGCCCTTGCTCACTTTTGAATGGGGTTGTTTGTTTTTTCCTTCTTGAGTTGTTTATCTTCCTCGTAGATTCTGGACACTAGCCATTTGTTGGACGCATTTACAATGCATTTAAAAAAGAGAAGATAGAAAAAGAACACAGAAGATAAAACAGACCCAAGGCCTGGGCAGCTCATGCTGCCTAGTTGCCCATCTCAAGAACAGACAGTGTGCTGGGCACGGAGGCTCACGGCAGTAACTTCGGCTCTTTGGGAGGCCGAGGTGGATGGATCACCTGAGTTCAGGAGTTCAAGACTAGCCTGGCCAACATGGCAAAACCCTGTCTTTACTAAGAAAAAAGAAACTGGCCAGATGTGGCACGAGCCTATACTTCCAGCTACTCAGGAGGCTGAGGCAGGAGAATTGCTTGAACCTGGGTGGTGGAGGTTGCAGTGAGCCAAGATCCCTCTACTGCACTCCAGCCTGGGCTACAAGAGTAAAACTTCATTTCAAAAAAATAAAAAAGATAATTAAGAATGGACAGTGTGAGGGTGGCCTCAAAAGGGTGGCCATGGTGAGGATAGAGACCCGTCCTAGCTGCCATCCACCCTGAGACCACGCCCCTGGGCTTAGAGAACCTCCTCTAGGAGAGATTTCTCCGGAATGCTTCAGCCTAGGGCTGGCTGGATTTTGGAGGCCTGAGAGAGCTGTCACACCCTTTGTCTCCAAAGGAAAGTGCTCCCTCTCCCCAGGCTGTAAGCACCGTCTCAGCTGCCAGCTCTCTGGTCTGTTCCACCCAGGTCAGGGCGCAGAGAGACAGGTGCTGGCATTTTCTCTGCACACTCCTATAGCCAGACAGCCCCGGGCCCCCGCCCCTCCTGACATAGTCACATACCTCAGCCTTTGAATCAATTTAACACCAGCCAGGGTACCACTTAGAAGGTTTGTTAGGTTTCCGTCGCTCTGCTGGAGAGGAAACTCATTCGCAGGGTAATTTAAAAAGCCTGTTACATGGATCTGATTCCAGAAATGAACCTTTTGATTCCTGAAAGAGGAAAAGGTAAAAAAACTTGAAAGGCCTTTATTACTTTTTTAATGAAATGGGCAAGATGGGAATTCTCACTTCAGGAGAAGAAGGGCAGGACACATTGTTCGTTCAGCAGGGAACCCCTGCCTTCTGCCCTTGGCCTTCCAGTGGCTGAGAGAGATCAAGTGTTGGCAGAAGTGTGGGTAACCCTAGACCCCAAATCATGCACATTGTCCCCCAATACTTAGTTCCCATGCTTGTTTTTAAACCCCCACACCCCCAGGTCTAAGGGTCCCAGCCTTGGACCAGTCAACAGCAGAGAACAGCCTTCATGGTGTCCTGGGTCTCCCCGGTGACCATCTGGGTTTGAGGCAGGGGCTACCCAGCTGTGTGGCGGGAGGTGATGAAACCCACACAGTCGTCTGTGGATGTTGGAACCTACAGCTGGGTGACATGGTTGACAACCAGGCAGGGTGTTATTCTAGGGGCCAGGTGGAATGACAGTGGCTGGCAGGGAGGTGCATGTGGCTATCTCCCTAGAAAGGTGTGGGCAGGCATGGCGGCTCACGTCTGTAATCGCAGCACTTTGGGAGGCTAAGGTGGGCGGATCACCAGGGAAGAGATGGAGACCATCCTGGGTGACATGGTGAAGCCCCGTCTCTACTAAAAACACAAAAATTAGCTGGGTGTGGTGGCACGTGTCTGTAGTCCCAGCTGCTCAGGAGGCTGAGGCAGAAGAATCACTTGAATCCGGGAAGCGGAGGTTGCAGTGAACCGAGATCGCACCACTGCACTCCAGCCTGGTGACAGAGCGAGACTGTTTCAAAAAAAAAGAAAGAAAAAGAAAGGTGTCCTGCAGGCTTGGTGGCAGGCACGATAAGTGAACCTTGGAGATACAGAGGGAAGACAGGTTCTGATGGGAGATGGGCCAGTGGCTGTCAGTGGGGAAAAGCACCAGGAGCTAAATGTGGGAGGTCCCACAGAAAGGCGCGTTCCAGGCAGCATCATGGGCCTCACACTTGCAGAATCATTTAGAAGAATGCAGACAGAACAAGAGACTCCGAGCTAGACAGCATCAACATTGACTCACTCAAAGTGGGAAATGGGTTCAAAGTCAGGAACAGAGAACTCCTGGGCAAGCCAGTTACAGAATCTAAAGATTTCTTAGAACTGTGGTCAACAAATGAAGCACGGTTACAGGGGGCAGGGGCCAGGCAGGACAGGGAAAGAAGCCCCTCTTTGTTCCACCGTTAGGATGGCAGAGATGACTCAGTGGTTTAGGGGGGCCATATCAGTAACAGGAGATGTCCTATTACTCAGTTCTGCATTGCTGGGGCCACATCGGCAGAGCAGGCCTGGATTGGCAAAGGGACCAGGCATCCTTAGGGTTTTTACCCCGCCCCTTTCTCCTTACACAGGTGTCCCAGTGTGACAACAAGCTGGGGAGACTCGATGTACCCCTGCATCTGGGGTGTCTTGCTGTGCACTACACAATGATGTGCCCTTGGGACCGTAGGAGAGGATGCCTCTTCATTCCAGGGAATCCTGGGCCCCTCTGCTGGCCTCAGGCAGGAAAGCGTGGGGGACTTGTGATGGGATACATGAATGATGGGTTCTGAGATCCGAACTTGGGGAAACCATGAAGCTGGGAGATAGAGAATCCCAAGTCGTGGGGAGCTGCAGAGTTTAAGAGTCTTTGGGGCTCCCCATTGAGGCAGAGCTAGTCTGCATCTCAGGGGCTCCCTTTGCCTCTGAGTCACAACCTAAATCATTGGAAAGCTGTTTGTTCTCCAAGTGCCCTGGGGCCCATTTAGATGCAATATCAGAGTGTGGCATAGCACAGCTAAAAACTCTCTTAACAGTGAGGGCCTGGGGTTTTAAACACATCCTAAAATCCTAAGGGGTTGCTTAAAAGGAGACTCTGGGAAACTAGAGGGAAAGAGGCATGATAGAATCAGCCACCAGCGGGCCTACATAGAGTCTTCATGTAAATTAGAAAAAGCAGCCCTGTTGGGCAGATGCATCCCTTTGGGCGAATGCCTGGTACCAGACAGAATCTTTTTGCAAAGAAAAAGACACGTGATTTGGCAAATGAACTGCAGGCTGGATTTGTGGTGCCTTTGTGCAGTCTCCAACCAACTCAACCATATGTAGGCTGCAATATGACCCTTTGAAAAATCTCCACATCTTCATACCTAGAACCTGTGAATGCTATTTCTCATGGTAAAGGAGACTTGCAGGTGTGATTAATGATTTTGAGATGGGGAGACTGACCTGGATTCTTGAGTGGATGCAATGTCATCACAAGCGTTCTGTAAGAGGGAGGGAAGGAGGTCAAAGGAGGAGGTAGGAGATGTGATTCCAGGCGTGGGTCATGTGCCAAGGAGTATGGGTGGGACACTTCTAGAAACTGGAAAAGGCAAGAAAACAGATTCTCCCCAAGAGCCCCCAGAAGGAGTGAGACCTGCCAGTACCTTGACTTCAGCCCTGGGAGATCTGGACTTTTGACCTCCAGAACAGGGAGATAATAAGTTTGTGTTGTTTTAAGCCACCAAGTCGGTGGTAATTTGATATAGCAGCAGTAGTGTATTCATTTTTTCTCATGCTGCTATACAGAGCTGCCTGAAACTGGGACATTTATAAAGGAAAGAGGTTTAATTGGCTCACAGTTCTGCATTGCTGGAGAGGCCTCAGGAAACTTACAATCATGGTGGAAGGCACAGGAGAAGCAGGCTGGAGGGAGTGCAAGCAGGGGAAATGCCAGATGCTTATAAATCCATCAGATGTCTTGAAACTCACCCATTATCAATGAGAACAGCGCAGGGTGAGGGGAGCTCCCCCTAGGATCCAATTACCTCCACCTGGTCTTGCCCTTGACAGGTGGGGATTATGGGAACTACAATTCAAGGTGAGATTTGGATGGGGACACAGAGCCAAATCATATCAAGTAGGAAATACCTCTTCTGTTGCCTTCTTCCTCAAGGAAGCCTTCTATTTTCATCTGTGATGTGTGTTGGAATTCCAAATAAGATTTCATTTGAAGAAGCAGGACTGCTGCTGAAAGCATTTGAAAAATGCATTGCTAGATGACAAAGTATTATTTCAATGTTAAATTTACTGAAGTTGATAACTGCACTGGAGTTCTAAGAGAATCTCTTTATTCTTAGGAAATACACACAGAAATGTTTAGTGTAGTGCATGAAACTTATTCTCAAATGGTTCAGAAAAATGTGTGTGTGTGGTATGCATATACACACACACATGAAGAGAAGGCATGATACATAAAGCAGGTGGGAACATCTTCACAATAGATACATCTCAGTGAAGGCATATATGTGTATGTTCTTTGAGTTCTTGCAACTTCTCTATAAATTTGAAATTATTTCCACACAACAAAGTGAAGAAGAAAACCTGCTGTGATCCAACTTGATATGGTTTGGCTGTGTCCCCACCCAAATCTCATCTTGAAATTGTAGCTTCCATAATTTCCACATGCCATGGGAGGGACATGGTGGGAGGTAATTGAATTATGGGGTGGGTTATTTCCTGTGCTTTTTCTCATGATAGTGAGTAAGTCTCATGAGATCTGATGATTTATAAAGGGGAGTTCTCCTACACACCCTCTCTCTTGCCTGCCACCATAAGATGTGACTTTGCTCCTCCTTTGCCTTCTGCCATGAGTGTGAGGCCTCCCCAGCCATGTGGAACTGGGAGTCCATTAAACCTCTTTTTTCTTTATAAATTACCCAGTCTCAAGTATGTCCTTATTAGCAGTGTGAGAACAGACTTATACACAACTTCTGTCAAGTTAAGGATGAGAAGTTGGAAACTCAGAGAAAGTTATAGGACCTCAGAAATAGTGTGTAGCTAAGCTGAGTCCTCTGGCCCCTTATCTTAATGGTGTTTTTTGAGGCAAACACTCCTGGGAGTTGTAGTATATTAAAGCAGTTTATTCTAAGGTGTCGATGACTTACCAGGGACTATTCTTCTGACTATAGGACCTTGGTTGCTCAGTGGCTTTCTGACTACAGGTGGAGCAGGGGAATGATCTCAAAGGGTGACAAAAAGCCCAGAAACTTTCCAGATTTTTCATGAATGGTCTTGTCCTAGAGACATCCCTTCTTGACATTATTTGCGACTCTCCTGGGCATGGAAAGGTATTGGGATTCACAAACTAGCCTTCCACCAGGTCCCAGGGAAGACTCTCATCATCCATTCATTGATTTATTTATTCAATCAATAAACATTATTGAACACATGCTATGTGGTCAGTTTATTATAAGTGCTATTCAGCAATAACAAATAACATAGCATGAATAAATGAGATAGGTTTGCATGGAGCTTACATTTAGGGGAGAGAAAGGATTAAGAAATAAAACAAAATAAAAATTTTGTTTAGTGGTAAAAAAGAGGATAATAAAAGAGGGTGTTATCATAGGGCAGCAGTTCCCATCTTTTTTGATTGCATGCCTCTATCAAAACTTTTTTTTTTTTTGAGACAGAGTTTTGCTCCTGTTGCCCAGGCTAGAGTGCAATGGCGAGATCTTGGCTTACTGCAACCTCTGCCTCCTGGGTTGAAGTGGCTTTCCTGCCTCAGCCTCTTGAGTAGCTGGGATTACAGGCATGTGCCACCATGCCTGGCTAATTTTGTATTTTTAGTAGAGACGGGGTTTCATCATGTTGGCCAGGCTGGCTTTGAACTCCTCACCTCAGGTGATCTGCCCACCTCGGCCTCCCACAGTACTGGAATTACAGGCATGAGCCACCATGCCTGGTTAGCAAAACATTTTGAGCAGGCTGGGCATGGTGGCTCATGCCTGTAACCCCAGCGCTTTGGGAAGCCAAGGTGGAATGATCACTTGAAGCTAGGAGTTTGAGACCAGCCTGGGCAACATAGGGAGACCCCATCTCCACCCCCCCAAAATTTTGCGCACTTGCCATAATATCTGCACACATTTAGATGTACGCATAAGTAATTGTTTATACCTAATATGATGTACAATTGTACTAAGGCATTATAAGACACACAAAATAGACATGTTATAAAAGCGGTAAAACATTACAGAGATGAAAATTCTATCACTTTCTTCTTGTTCCTTATTATGTCATCTTTGGCACCCCAGGGGGTGTGCGGTGCTCTGGGGCACCTGAAGGACAGAATGGCCAGGGAAGGTTCCCCTGGGGAGTAACAGGAAAATAAAATCCTGCAACCCCAGCTCACTATGCTAATGGGAAAGTTAAGCTTGGAAAACGGATTCAGCAAAACTACCTTCCTTTTGTTCCCAGACAGCTGTAATTTCACAGGCTCACTTTATCTTATGTAAAATGTAGATCTACCAAGGGAGAGGACTGCATAATTGACTCTCCCCCCACCCCCCCACTCGGCTCTTTTCACATGTAAAACATGGACTTGGAGAGTGCATCAAAGCCTCACAAGAATGTGACCACTGACCTCATGGTCTACCCACTCCCTCCCCCGACTCTTTTCCCTTGAAAGATTGAAGTTCTCAAAATCCTCTTTGGAAAAAGCAAAGGGCACAGATCTGATTGTAAATCCTGTTTCATTTTCCCAGGTGCATCCTCAACCATGGCAAATTCAACCTTTAAATCCACCGAGACTTGCCTCGGTCACTTGTGGTTTACAGGGGAGATAGCATTTGCTTTGAGCCATAACCATGGAGAAGGAGCTGCCAAGAGAACTTCTCTTGGGGAGAAGTTTCTAGGTAGAGGGACCAGTAGTTACCAGAGCCAGAGGAGGGAGTGGGCTTGGTGTTTCTGAGGAAGAGACAGAGGGTCAGGGTGGCTGGAGCAGAGGGAATGGAAAGCGGAATAGCCATAGTGCAATCTGAAATCTAAGAGGAAGGTGAAAGCCAGATCCAGGAGCCTGCAGGTCCTTCTGGGAGTGTGGATTTCATTCTAACATCACAGGAAGCCATTGGAAAATGGTATAATCACATGTATGTGTATATTATACCGTATGCACATACATATACATACATATGTATACACATTACACATACACGTGTGTGTGTGTGTGTGTATGTATATATATATATATACATTTTTTTTTGAGACAGGGTCTTACTGTGTTCTCCAGGCTTTAGTGCAGTGGCACAATCTACTCTCTGCAGCCTCAAACACCTGGGCTCAAGCCATCCTCACAACTCAGCCTCCTGAGTAGCTATAAAAAAGGTGCACACCATCACGCTTGGCTAATTTTTAATTTTTGTAGAGATAGAGGTCTTGCTATATTGTCCAGGCTGGTCTCGAACTCCTAGCCTCAAGAGATCCTCCCACCTCAGCCTCCCAAAGTGCTGGGATGACAGGCATGTGCTACTGCCCTTCAACCATATGTACATTTTAAACAATTTTACCAGCTGCTCTTAGAGAAGACATTGTAGGCTACCGGAGTAGAAATAGCGAAAACGGGTAGAGCTTTTTGCAATAGTCTGTGTGGGAGATCATGATGGCTTGGATTGGGGTGGTCAAGGAGGAAGAGGGGATGGGATGGATTGGGATGTATTTTGGAGGGAGAGTTGACAGTTTGGGTGGGCTATAAAGGGGTGAAGGGTCAGGGCTTCCTCCTGGATTTCTGGCCTAAGGGTGGTGTCTGTCACTGACATTGGAACTCGGGGTGAAGGAGGGGCTCAATGCCACTTCTGATGGATGACAGAACAGGTGGACTCTTATACGTGTGAGTCTGTATACACACTCAGGGAAGGGCAGAACTGTGGGTGTACATTTGAGCATTGTGGAGGAGAGAGGTGGAGGCTTCTGGGCACAGCTGGTCCATGCATGGTGTCAGAGAGCAGTGTGCCAGTAGCAGGGGGCAACACGGGAGCCCAGGACAGGCAAAGGCTGCAGAAAGAAAGCAACTCATCAGAGAGGCACTGCACCCTCATTCAGATTTTGCCCCCATTCAGTTGAAATTGTTTTGCATTGTGAATTGATGGAACTGTATTGTAGCAGAGGCTATGGGGGGGGCCCGGAGCTGGGAGGCTCAGAGGCCCTTTGCTATGGAAGAAAGTCAAGTTCAGCTCTCTGGCAACAGGTGGCTGGCTCAGAAACCTCTGCATGCAGGAGCCCACACTGGTCCCTGAGGTCCCACTTGGGCAGCCCCCCCGCCCCTGCCAACTTGCCTTCCTCTGCGTGCAGCTGGTTCCCAGGGCCTGGAGCTCATGACACCTTGACAAATGATGCAGCCAGCAAAGCGAATCACAACAGGAGAGATGTTTCCCCAGGAGGGCCGAACGCATTTCCACGAGTTTGTCTGTGGAGCTGGTACCGTGCCCAGTCACAGATTCCTGCAGTAAGGAATAGCATTTAATTTTCTTATAATGGAACTTAATATGTCTTTTGTTTTTTCTTTCCCTAGAGACAGGGTCTCGCTCTTTCCCAGGCTGGGGTATACTGCTGCGATCATAGCCCAGTGCAGCCTCCAATTCCTGGGCTTGAGTGATTCTCCCATCTCAGCTTCCCAAATTGTTGGGAGTATAGGCATGCGTCTACCCTGTCTGGCCAGCATTCTCGTCCTAACTTAAACATTATTTTCTGCTAACTCCAAGTTTTAAGACAAAGTGTTTCTCCTTTTTCTCTTTCTTTTTTTTAGATGGAGTCTCACTCTATTGCCAGGCTGGAGTGCAGTGGCACAATCTCAGCTCACTGCAACCTCTTCTACCTCCCGGGTCCAAGCGATTCTCCTGCCTCAGCCTCCTGAGTAGCTGGATTACAGGTGCCTGCCATGATGCCTGGCTAATTTTTCTATTTTTAGTAGAGACGGGGTTTCACTGTGTTGGTCAGGCTGGTCTCAAACTCCTGACCTCAGGGGATGCACCTGCCTCAGCCTCCCAAAGTGCTGGGATTACAGGTGCCTGCCATGATGCCTGGCTAATTTTTCTATTTTTAGTAGAGACGGGGTTTCACTGTGTTGGTCAGGCTGGTCTCAAACTCCTGACCTCAGGGGACCCACCTGCCTCAGCCTCCCAAAGTGCTGGGATTACAGGGGAGAGCCATGCAGATTGAAAAATCATCTCTGAAGCCACCTATGACTTATAAGTCCTTAATTCAAGATATTTCACCTTTTTGAGGCCAAACCAATGTCTACCTTCCACGTATTGATTTATGTCTTTGCCTACAGCTCCTGCCTTCCTGACATGTATAAAACCAAACTGTAATCTGACTGTTGTCAGGCGCAGTGGCTCACACCTGTAATCCCAGCACTTTGGGAGGCCAAAGTGGGTGGATCATGAGGTCAGGAGTTTGAGACCAGCCTGGCCAAGATGATAAAACCCTGTCTCTACTAAAAAATACAAAAAATTAGCTTTCCAGACAGGGAGTGCACAAAGCAGTGAGCCAGAGAGGGTGCTGCTGTAGCTACATGCAACACAACCTACCAGGGTGGAGCTCAGTGTGCAACCTGTACCACACCCAAAATGGATACATGGGCTGGATGGGGCTTCATGGACTCAGAGAACCATGCAAAGAGATTGGAGCTTTACCTGGAAGGCTCCCTGAAACTGCATCAGTCCAGGTCCAGTTGGGAAGACTACAGACTCCCACTAGGTATTTCAAACGAGGGTATTTAATACAGGGAATTGGGTTGGATATGGTGGTGCATGCCTGTAATCTTGGTGCTTTTAGAGGCTGAGGAGGGAGGATTGCTTGAGGCCAGGAATTTGAGACCAGTCTGGGCAACCTAATGAGACTCTGTCTCTGCAAAAATTAAAAAAAAAAAAACAAGCTGGATGCAGTGACACAAGCCTGTAGTCCCAGCTACTAGGAAGCCTGAGGTTGGAGGATTGCTTGAGTCCAGGAGTTCAAGGCTGTAGTGAGGGATGATTGCACCACTGCTCTCCAGCCTGGGTGTCAGAGTGAGACCATGTGTGCAAGGCCATTCTTGCATTGTTATAAAGGAATACCTGAGACTAAGTAAAGAAAAAATGTTTAATTGGCTCATAGTTCTGCAGGCTGTATAGGAAGCATGATGCTGGCATCTGCTTGGCTTCTGGGGAGGCCTCAGGGAGCTTTTATGCAGTGCAGAGGACTGCATAAAAAGGAGATGGGATGCTGCATGGCCAGAGCAGAAGCAAGGGAGGGGAGAGATACCAGATGCTTTCAAACAACCAGATCTTGTGAAAACTCACTCACTATCTTGAGGACAGCACCAAGCCATGAAGGATCCAAGTTCATGACGCAAACACCTCCCACCAGACCCCATCTTCAACACCAAGGATTATTTCAATTCAACATGGAATTTAAAGGAGACAACATGCAAACTTTATCAACCTGTCTCTAAAATGTAAAAAAGTCTCTCTCTCTCATATTTATTCCATGTATGTATGTATGTATGTATGTATCTATTTATCTATGTCATCTATCTTATCTATCATGTCTATCAATCTATCCCCTCTTTATTCTATCTAATCTATCAAATCTATCATATCTATCTCTATGTAATCTATGTATCACATCCATCTATCTATCATACCTATCACATCTATCTCTCATATCTATTATCTATCATATCTATTTATCATCTGTCTGTTATCTATAATCTCTATCATGCATTTTTGTATGTATGTATGCATCTATCATCTCTCTCTCTCTCTCTCTCTCTCTGAATCTCTGTCATCTATCTCTTTTATCAATCGATCAATCAGTCATCTATTGAATTAGTTGCCCATTTGCTGGAGGGCTACAAGAGTAGAGAGAAAAGGTAGAAACTCAAAGATAAAAACTACAGAACATGGCTACCAGCTGCAGGGCTTAGGGAACAAAAAGAAGAGGTTTTATGAGGACCTAGAGGCTCAGAAGAGGGGGATGCAGAGTGTGTGCTTGAACCTCTGAAGAGAGATTGCTGCCCAGCTGGTGCTGGTGTCTCAGAAGGCATGTGTCAGGCTGGTTCTGGGAGGGTCAAGAGAAGCCACGCAACTTGCCTTATGGGGCTCAATGTCACTGCTTGTGAAACTGTGCCCCCAAAGAGTTAAAGAAACCAGTGATTGATAAAAAATTCTTGAGCTTTCGGGATGGCAGATAAGAAGAGACAACTTGCTGAAATGCTGAAACTCCCTCTGTTTGTGAGACTTAAAAACTGGCTAAAATCAGTTAGAACCAATATGGCCAACTGAAGTCTGTACAGAATGAGCTTGCTGATGTCACAGCCTGATTACACACCCGATGTTCACACTAACTCCCCCTGAATTTGCACATGGGACCCATGAGGAGGCATGAAGAGATAACTGTGCATTCCTGAGGACTTTCCAGAGCCCCCCTTTCCTTCCATTAATCAACTGCTAACCCCAGAATGCACCCCCTAAGCCTTTTCTGATACAATTACTTCATTGGCTGGGTGCCGTAGCTCATGTCTGTAATCCCAGCACTTTGGGAGGTCAGGGCAGTAGGATCAGTTGAGCCCAGGAGTTTGAGACCAGCCTGAGTAATATAGTAAGGTCTCATCTCTATAATTTTCTTTTTAATTAGCTGAGTGTGGTGGTGCTAGTCTGTGGTCCCAGCTACTTGGGAAGCTGAAGCAGGATGATGGCTTGAGCCCAGAAGGTTGAGGCTGGTGTGAGCTATGATCACACCATTGCATTCCAGCAGCCTGGGCAACAGAGCAAAACCTTGTCTCAAAAAAAAAAAAAAAAAAAAAAAAAATTACCACCTTAAAGCCAGCACAAGGAGACAGATTTGAGCAGGACTCTTATCTCCTTGTTAGTCGACTTGCAATAAAAAGCTTTCCTCTTCTCAAAAACCCTATGTCATAGTATTAGTTTCCAGTGTATTGGGAAATGAGCCCTTTTTGCTTGGTAACAATTGGGCAAAGCTGATGGGAGCAACAGGTGCACAGGAAAGAGAAAGGTCCTTTTCTTCACGCAGAGCCTCAGGGAAGTTGGCTGGCCAAGCAGAAATGTGATCCGCAGAGCCTCAGCCCAAGCATCCCAAAGCAGAATCTAGAAGGCCGGTGTGCAGCTGAGAGACAATAGCTAAAGCGTTGACCTGAGAAGGGTCTGCAATGCATTTGGGTTTTGGAGAGGCCACTCTGGATGCAGTGTAGGGAATGAATTGGATGAGGAGGGAGGCCACAGAAGAGGCAGATGCCCTACCCCAGGAAGAGAGGGTGAGAACTTAGGGTAAGGGTGAGAAGAGGTGAATGAACTTGGAGCTCATTCCAAGTTCACACCCAGGGTGTGTGGGGGTGTGGCATAGAAGTACTACCAGAAAAGGGTATTGATCCAGACCCCAAGAGAGGGTTCTTGGATCTCATGCAGGAAGGAATCCAAGATGAGTCACAGAGTGCAGTGAGAAGAGACGGTTTGTTGAAAACTCCTCCTTTAGAGAGTAGGAGGTTCTCAGAAAGCAAGAGGAAGAATGCCCCAGCTTTAAGTTTTTTCTTATATACGAGTCTAGTCTATGAAAAGAATACACTAAGCAGTGTCTATTTGCAGATGGGCTAACAAGGTAATGAAATTTATTATTCTATTGATTTAAAGAAACCTGTCTGTATTAGTCTGTTCTAGTATTGCTATAAAGAAATACCTGAGACTGGGCAACTTATAAAGAAATAGGCTTTAATTGGCTCACAGTTCCACAGGCTGTGATGGAAGCAAGATGCTGGCTTCTGCTTGGGTTCTGGGGAGGCCTCAGGAAACTTCCAATCATGGAGGAAGGTGAAAAGGAAGCAGGTACGTCTTACATGGCCAGAGCAGGAGAAAAGAGGGTGTGGGAGGTGTGACGCACTTGTAAAAAACCAGATCTCATCATAACCCACTCACTACCATAAGAACACTCACTACCATTGAGGGGTGGTGCTAAACCATTCATGAAGGATCCAACCCCGTGATCCAACACCTTCAAACAGGCCCCACCTTTAACACTGGCCTTACAATTGAACATGAGATTTGGGCGGGGACAGATCCAAAGCATATCACTGTGCTTGACATTTCACTGTGTAAGTATATAAAAGCATAACTATAATAATCTTGAAAGCATATATTGTTATGGGTTTGGGCACATCTGGGCTTCCTGTTGTTGTAGGAGTTTGTCCTTGCAGGCATTGCTAAGCTGCTCCCTGAGCTGCAAACGTCTTAGGACCATGGGTCATGACTGGCAAGGAATGTGCCTTGTTAATCTCAAGATTCAGTTTAACTGGAAATGGTATTATTCTGGCTCTTCTAGGCTCCTGCTTCCTTAACAGAGGGAGAGATGAGAAGCAAGCGTCAACTCTGCACACCTTCAAGGGCAGGATGAGCGACTTAGTATTGTTCCCAGCATTAGTGCACATAGCAGGAAAATAAAGAAGAGGAAAAAAAATGGGGGAGAAAGGGAGGAAGAATAGTCATTGTACCTCTGCTTGTCAATGCTAAGAACAGGAAGGTCATTTCCTCGCAAGACGTGTCGTTTTAATGTTAGCTATAAATGCTAACAACTTTGCCCTTTTACAGAAGAAACAATTGCCTTTCCATCATTTCTACACACAGGTCCTAATGCTGCCCTCTGGAGCAACACAGAAAGTTTATCTTCCACCAGACAAATATTTGAAGACAATAGTTGGTGGAAAGAATGAATGAGAGATGTGTAAGGGGTTGTAATTCAACAGAAGAAAGCCTTGTTTGGGGCCAAAAGCAGCACTCGCTGAGCATGTGTTAACAGCAGGCATGTGGCTTGAGACCAAGGGGAGAAGCTGACAGATGTCTCAGATTCTGGACAGGGACTTTTCTTGGAGGGTGCTGAGACTCCTGGAACAAAGGAATTCCTTGGAGACTGCATCAGTCCTCTGTGTTATTTTGCTTTGTTTAGAGACAAAGTCTTGCTCTGTTGCCCAGGCTGGAGTACGGTGGTGCCATCATAGCTCACTATAACCTGGAACTCCTGGGCTCAAGGGACCCTCCCACCTCAGCCTCCTAAGTAGCTCTAGAAAAGCAGGTAGAGGTTTGTGTGGTAGAGTGAGAATACCAGGAGATGCTTGGGGAGATCAGAGGGATTCCCAAGGGGAATCAGTCAATAGGTGCTTGTTGAGAGAATTACGGACTTGAGACTCTTTGATCAAGAATAGAGGGCTTTCCAGGTGCAGTGGCTCACACCTGTAATCCAAGCTTTGAGAGGCTGAGGTGGGAGTATCTCTTGAGCCCAGGAGTTCAAGACCAGCTTGGGCAATGTAGCAAGATCCTGTAGCTACAAAAATTAAAAGATTAGCTGGGTGTGGTGGTGCACTCCTGTAGTCCCAGTTACTTGGGAGGCTGAGGTGGGAAGATCCCTTGAGCCAGGGGTTTGAGATTATAGTGAGCTATGATGGCACCACTATACTCCAGCCTGGGCAACAGAGCAAGACCCTGTCTCTAAACAAAACAAAATAACACAGAGGACTGATGTAGCCTTCAGGAAATGCCTTCCTCATCGAGGAAGTGACAGAAACCAACTGAGATATAAATATCACCCAAAGTCACCTTGCATGGTCAGGTGACTGAGCCAGGAGAGACCGTGGAAAGACAACCCACGTCCCTGTAGCCACAGATGATGCAATAATTGAGACTGTGGAAGTCAAGAGGCTCTGGGGGATAACAATGATAAAAAATAATAAAACTGATAAATACCTTGTATTAGTTTGCTAAGGTTGCGATTACAAAATACTGCAGGCTGGGTGACTTGAAGAACCGAAATTTATTTTCTCACCTTTCTGAAGGCTAGAAGTCCGAGGTCAGGGTGTCAGCAGGGCTGGATTTTACTGAGGCCTCTCTCCATGGCTTGTAGGTGACCGTCTCCTCCTTTTATCTTCACATGGTATTACCTCTGTGTGTCTGGGTCCTAATCTCTTCTCATAAGGACAGCAATCATATTGGCTGAGGCCCTGCCCTTATGATTTCATTTTAACTCAATTTCCTCTTTAAAGACCTGTTGGAAATAGATACTTGGTGCTGCAAAGAAAATAGAACTGAGGCTGGATGTGTTGGCCCACGCCTGTAATCCCAGCACTTTGAGAGGCCTAGGTGGGTAGATCACAAGGTCAGGAGTTCGAGACCAGCCTGAGCAAATGGTGAAACCCCATCTCTTCTAAAAAAAAAGTACAAAAATTAGCCAGGCATGGTAGTGCATGCCTGTAATCCCAGCTACTCAGGAGGTTGAGGGAGAAGAATTGCTTGAACCTGGGAAGCAGAGGTTGCAGTGAGCTGAGATCGTGCCACTGCACTCCAGCCTGGGTGACAGAGCAACACTCAATCGAAAGAAAGAAAGAAAGAAAGAAAGAAAGAAAGAGAGAGAGAGAGAGAAAGGAGGGAGGGAGGGAGGGAGGGAAGGAGCAAGGAAGGAAGGAAGGAAGGAAGGAAGGAAGGAAGGAAGGAAGAAAATTAGCACTGAGACACAAAGGATCTTTCAGCAACACAATTTTTACTGCTTGGACTGCAGGAAGGGTACCCTTGCTAGCCATTGTGCCACGAGAGTGCAATGAACAAAGGAAAAGCAGACAAATTTATTCCTGATGCATCTGGGGTCGTCCTTACTGCTGTGTCTGATCTCCATTGGTTGGAGGCAGATCTCACAATCTAAAGTAAAACCTGATTGGTTAATAACGTAAAACTTTTCTAAACAGGTAAAAGCAATGGAGATCTGGGGACACACCTGTGAGTGCATCCAGCACAGATATCTTGGTTAAAGTACAAGGACATAGAATGTACTATATGCCTGTAAGCATGGCATGTCTAACAGCTACATAGGATGGGGCTTAACAAAGTTATTAACAGACTTACTCTTTAACAAGAAAGGAAACTTTAAAAAGGAACTTTTCTACTTCCCATAAGACCCTGTCTCCAAATACAGCCGCATTCTGACTTATGAGTTAGAACATCCACATACGAATTTTGCAGGGTATGCTATAACATTCCTTAAAATCAAGGACCATTTTAAACCAACCATTAAAAACCAACATTTTTAATGATTGATTAATTGATATTTTTAGAGACAGGGTCTTGCTCTGTTGCCCAGGCTGGAGTGCAGTCCTGCAATCACAGCTCACTGCAGCCTTGAACTCATGAGCTTAACTGATTCTCTTGCCTCAACTTCCTGAGTAGCTGGGACTACAGGCAGCCATCACCACACCCAGCTAATTTTTAAGATATTTTTGTAGGGATAGGAAGTCTCACTATTTTGCCCAGGCTGATCTCAAAATCTTAGCCTCAAGCCATTGTCCTGTCCTGGCCTCACAAAGTACTGGGATTATAGGTGTGAGCCATCATGACCAGCCTAATTTTTTTTTTTTTTTAAATACAGCTCATTCTCAAGCCTCACATGTAATTGGCCTATGTAAACTGACCAGAAAAAAATGGTTCAGGAACCAAGCACAAAGCATGCCTCATTTATTCTGTTGACATCTGATCACTTTTTCAGGACTTACACTGACCTGCAGCACCCTTCCAGGCTCTGTCTAAAAATACAGCTTGAGTTAATAACTCTCAGTAAACCACAGAGTATTTGTGAATAAAATTTATCAAATCTCTGCAAATTAATTATTCATGCAGTTTCCATGCATAGAATGATAATCTTGTTTTTTCTTTAAATTTTTCCTGGAAGCCTAGTTAGATCTTTGTTGTTGTTCTGGTCCAGTGGGAGGCAGATATGAACAACCTTCGGGAGAGAAAGTTAATAATTCAATATGATGCATTAACTCTAATCCATACACATGCGTGTCTGTCAGTATTTTAAGAGGTAAAGGAGGAAGTAATATGATATGTTCTTTTGCCATTAGGTCCTCTAGAGAAGGCAAAAGAAAGCCTTAACCAATCAAGAAAACGGCTGGAGTTCTTTCTAAACTTCTTTGAAGCATGAATACTCAATATAGTCATCTTTATATTTTCCCTGTTGGATTTCTCATTTTAAATGGGCTTGGAGACTTGTTTCTTATTTCACCGGAGATCTGAAATATATGACGAACTTGCTGTTATGCCCAAACATAAAATATCATACATTTTTAATCTCATATGCCTTTGAAAACCAAATTCATCAAAAACTTATTAATTCAAACTTGCCTTAGAGCTTATGATTGCCAAGGGTTTTAAAAAGATTGCGGTTTTGCTCTACACGCCTGTGGAGGAACCCTCGTAGTATTAATGGCTGCCATTCATAAAGCTTTTACTCTGAGCCGGGCACTCTGCTACATGTTTTACATTGCCCCACTTTGTTTAATTCTCACAGCAACTTTATGAAGTAAGGCTGCTCATGTTTCCATATTCCCAAAGTTATAACTTGCCCTTGGTCATGTAGCTAGAATGTGTTGGAGCTGGGCTGGGCGTGGTGGTTCATGCCTGTAATCCCACCACATCAGGAGCCCAGGGCGAGAGGATCACTTGAGGCTGGGGGTTTGAGACCAGCCTGGGCAACAGAGTAAGACCTCATCTGCAAAAAACATTGGCCGTGTGTGGTGGTGGTGTGTGCCTATAGACCCAGCTACTTAGGAGGCTGAGGTGGGAGGACTGCTTGAACCCAGGAGTTAGAAGCTGCAGTGAGCTATGATCACGCCACTACACTGCAGCATGGACAACACAGTGAGACCTTGTCTCTATAAAATAATAATAATAAAATAAGAAGAAACCATTGATGGATCTGTGGGCTTACAACCTGGATATTTGTGTAATTTTCCTCATAGCACTCAGTGGTTTTGGAGGAAGAGAAAAGAAGATGAACAGTTGGATTGGCCCCCACATGGGGATTTGCAGGCAGGGTGGTGAGAGAGTGGAGAAGCACGAACTTGCAAGTACTGGCTGCCATGTTGCTGGATGCTTACCTTGGACGTCGGGTTGGGTAGGAAGGCAATGGAGCCAAAGGAGGGCTGAAGATCAGAAAGAATCAAGGTCAGAGCTCTAGGTAATATTTTATAATCATACTAATAAAGGCAGGCAGACAACAAGAGGATGGAGCTGGCAAGATGTGCTTAACATTTTTTTTTTTGTTGTTGAGACAGTCTTGCTCTGTTGCCCAGGCCTGAGTGCAGTGGTGTGATCTTGGCTCATGGCAATCTCCACCTCCCAGGTTCAAGCGATTCTCCTGCCTCAGCCTCCTGAGTAGTTGGGATTATAGGTGTGTGCCACCACCTGACTAATTTTTGTGTTTCTTTCTTTTTTTTTTTTTTGAGACAGAATTTCGCTCCTGTTACCCAGGCTGGAGTGCAATGGCGCGATCTCGGCTCACCGCAACCTCCGCCTCCCGGGTTCAGGCAATTCTCCTGCCTCAGCCTCCCGAGTAGCTGGGATTACAGGCACGCGCCACCGTGCTCAGCTAATTTTTTGTATATTTAATAGAGATGGGGTTTCACCATGTTGACCAGGATGGTCTCGATGTCTTGACCTCCTGATCCACCCGCCTTGGCCTCCCAAAGTGCTGGAATTATAGGCATGAGCCACCGCGCCTGGCCCATTTTTTGTATACTTTTTAGTAGAGACGGGGTTTCATTATGTTAGCCAGGTTGGTCTTGAACTCCTGACCTCAAGTGATTCGCCTGCCTCAGCCTCCCAAAGTGCTGGGATTACAAGCATGAGCCACTGCACCTGACCTGTTTTAAAACTTTTAAGAAAGAGCATTCTGGGTAACGTTGGGGTCTGGGATGTGACTGGGGCTGGGGACGGGAAGGTCAGGCGTGGAGGAGCTATTTCCCTTAGTGACAAGCTTTCCCTCTTACAAACATTTTCCCCAAGCTTATGTCTGGTCCGGCTTCCAGGGGAACATAGAGGTGCTGGCCGAGGGGGGACCAGCAATGTCTGTGGGGTTCTCCCAACTCTGCAGCCTGCAGCCCACACAGGCCACTGTGCCAAGACCTGGCTCAGCCCACAGAATCAACCCTTATAGGCTGCTGCAGCTGCCAAACCATCCTTCACCCATCCCCAGATTTGGGGAGGTTCAGTTTATTAAATGTAGATAGGTACACTGTTTTACTTATTTATTTTTTTCAGAGATAAGATTTAGCTCTGTTGCCAAGGCTGGAGTGCAGTAGTAGGATCATAGTTCACTGCAGCCTCGAACTCCTGGGCTCAAGGGACTCACCCCCCTCAGCATCCCAAGTAGCTGGGACTACGGGCGTGCACCAGAACACCCAGCTGATTAAAAAAAAAATTTTTTTTGGTAGAGATGGGGTCTTGCTATGTTGCCCAGCCTCACCTTGAACTCTTTGCTTCAAAGGATCTCCCACCTGGGCCTCCCAAAGTGCTGGGATTACAGGAGTGAGCCACTGCGCCTGGCTTCTTTTCCTTTTAAAATATAAAACATGCTTAGATGATTCCATGGAAAGAGAGTTAGTGCTGCATTCCGTTGAGATCACTGTCATGGAAGTCACTATCGGCCACAGGTGCAAAAGCAGGTTGTCAACCTGCCCCTCCACCTGCGGCTGACCACTCAGGAAGCCTGGTTGGGATTCCTGAGGTGCCAGCACCCCTTGGCTGTCCTGTGGCCTGATGGGAGGGTGGCAGGCCTGTGAGCATGTGCCTCTGTCAGGGATGCTGAAGGTGCCTAGCTTCCTCCAGCTGCAACATTGATTCATGTGTCTCAGCCCCACCCCTGCCAATAACCCCAGCGGCACTCTCAGTGGGCTGCAAACGCCTAATGCACTCGTTGCTGGGTTTGGGAGTGTCAGAGACACCATCCTGGCAGGCCCAGCACTGAGTCAATGAGGATCACCTACAGAATACTGAGTGTGGCAGAGGACGGAGGGTCAGGGAAGAGGAAGTAATTGCTTGTGGCTGTACAAAGGCCCCTGGCTGGGAGAATTAAGGAACATTTCTATCCCCAAAGACTGTGAACGATGCAGAAAGCAAACCTGCAAGGATCATTCACAGTTTCTCTGCTCGATAGGGCCAGGATTTCTCTGCTCTATCCGAGTGCTCTCTGTGGCCAGGACTGATTAAGGATAGTCACGAATCTCCCCTGCTGCCACCCAAGCCAGGCTGTTTTTACATCTGCGCTGAGACATTCAGGCAACCAGACCGGCACTTTCTGGTTTCTTCCTGCTCTGTGATTCTGTGTCTACAAGACCTTGGACTCAGTTAAACATGCAGTGTTGGATTTTTCTTTCCCTGAGTGAGTGAAAGTGCGATGGAGGTAAAAGTCCCATTAGTCCTCCCAACTAGATCCTTCACTCTAAAAAATGACTGCTTTTTGGCAAGAGGTTCCAAAAATAAAGTAGTTGAAAGTGATGTCTTCACGGACTTTTAGGCCAGCAGAGTGACTCCAGATGATGACTATGCTAAACACCACTGCTCTTAAAAAATTACTTACCAAAAAAAGCAAGGGCTCAGCTTTGTGACATTTCTTTAGTCTCTCAAAAATGCAAGTTTGCCAGTGACAGGGAGTGGTAATGTCACAAGTCACCAATGAGCTTCACCATCAAGGACATACAGTCAGCCCTTTCCAGTGGCTCTGAGTCCTAACTGGTTTGACTCAGTTATACTCAGCTGAGATTGTTTGAGTTCTTCGAGAATTCCCAGGCTTCTGTGTTCTTGTTTGCAGGACAGAGTGACGGCCTCTATTGTAGATGAACATCCATTACTTACAAAGCCCCATGATTAGCTGATCACCAACACGTCACACAGATACCTGCAACTAGCCCTGGCACTTCAGAAGACAGATAGGCCTTTCCCTAAATCCTCAGGCATTCTGCTGAGTTCCCAAGAAGCATTTACTGACTAAAAGCCACTTGAAACCCTCTCTAGGTGATGTTATGTCTTCATATAAAAGTGAGCTTGTTTCCAATATGTATTTCTTGTTAAAACAACACTGTAACAACAGTAAGGTTAGGAAAAACAGAAACAATCAACTTAATATCTTCACCTGAGCACGACTGTTCTGAATAGTACAAGTGTGTCTTACTCATAAATCTTGGTCCATTTTGCTGGTTATTTCCTGAGAATATGTCCCTAGAGGAGGCAGCACTGGCTCTGTGACCATAGGCATTTTTGAGATTACTGATACATCTTGCCAGATCATCTTCCAGAAATAGTAGTTTACTACCTCATTGTTATTTCAATTCTATTTCTTTGAATATTAGTGGTCTTAAGGAACACTTTAGATATTTATAAATTATGTATATATCTTCCTATGCATTATTATATATATATTTATTATAAATTTTATTTTATAGATAGAGATAGGGTTTCCTCATGTTGCCCAGGTTGGTCTTGAACTGCTAGGCTTGAGTGATCTGCTCACCTTGGCCTCCCAAAGTGCTGGGATTACAGGTATGAGCCACTCTACCCATCCCCTATGAATTATTTTTAATTTTTATTTATTTGTTTAAGTTTCTACATATAACAACACTGACCTATAAATTATAGTCTTTTGTCCCTTTATCCATGAGGGTCTTTATATTTTTCAAAATTTATAGAAACGATTTTTCTCATTTATTGATATCTATTATAGTAATTTACATATTTATGGGGTACATGTGAGTATCTGTTATACGCATAGAATATGTAATGATCAAATCAGGGTCACTGAGGTATCCATTACCTTGCATGTTTCATTTTTATGGGCTGGTATCATTTTAAGTCCTATCTTCAGTTACTTTAAAAGATACTTAATATTGACCTGACGTGGTGGCTCACACCTGTAATCCCAGCACTTTGGGAGGCCAAGGCAAATGGATCATGAGGTCAGAAGTTTGAGCAGCCTGGCCAGCATAGTGAAACGCTGTCTCTACTAAAAATACGAAAATTAGTCAGGTGTGGTGGAACGTGCCTGCAGCCCCAGCTACTCGGGAGGCTGAGAATCATTTGAACCTGGGAGGTGAAGACTGAGTGAGCTGAGACTGCGCCATTGCACAGAGCCTGGCAATGGGTGACAGCGCGAGACTCTGTCTCAAAAAAAAAAAAAAAAAAAAAAAAGACACGTAATATTGTTGCTATGCATAGTCCCCCTAGTCTGCTATCAAACATTGGAACTTATTTCTTCTAACTGTATGTTTGCGCCCATAACCAACCTCTCTTCATCCCTCCCCGAGCCCTTGCCCTGTCTCTGGTGTCTATCATTCCATTCTCTTAAGTTCACAAGATCAAGACTTTAACTCTCATATATGGATAAGAACATGTGGTATTTGTCTTTCTGTGCCTGGCTTATTTCACTTAACTTAAAGATCTCCATTTCCAGCTATATTGGTACAATCGATAGGATCTCATTCTTTTTTATGGCTGAATAGTATTCCCTTGAGTATCTTGACCACCTTTTCTTTATCCCTTCATCTGTGGATGGACATTTAGGCTGTTTCCATATCTTTGCTATTGTGAACAGTGCAAATGCAGTTCAACATGCAAATGCAGACACCCCTCTGATACACTGATTTCTTTTCCTGTGTGTAGATTCTCAGTAGGGGACTGCTGGGTTGTATGGTATAAACAGTTTTTTTAATTAAGGCTATCATTTGTTGCAAAAATTTTCCTGTTTGTCTTTTATTCTTATTAATGTTTCTGTATATACAGAACTTTAACATTTATATGTATTCAAATTTATCCAACCGTCTATATTATAGATGTTTAATAAATGCTCTATATTATTTCTTTAATAATACATATTATTCAAGCTGGGCATGGTGGCTCATGCCTGTAATCCGAGCACTTCGGGAGGCTGAGGCAGGCGGAACATGAGGTCTGGGGTTCAAGACCAGCCTGACCAACATGACGAAACCCTGACTCTACTTAAAAATACATAACTTAGCCAGGCATGGTGGCATGCACCTGTAATCCCAGCTACTTGGGAGGCTGAGGCAGAAGAATTGCTTGAACCCAGGAGGTGAAGGTTGTGGTGAGCCAAGAGCGTGCCATGGCACTCCAGCCTGGGCAGTGAGACTCCATCTCAAATAAAAAAAAGTATTATTCAATAATGATATATTTATATTCACATTATTAACTTGAATATTCAATTAATATGTACATTCATACTAACAATATAAATATGAATATATTCACAGCAATATAAACATATAATATTCATATTAATGATACGAATATTATTTCTTGAAGAATGTATAGTATTTATGAAGCATCTATACTATGCTAGGCAATGTGCCTGAGGATTTATGCTTATATTCTGTTTGATCCTTCTGTCGAGCACTAGAGACAGGTGAGAGTATGGCCGTGATACAGACGAGACTAATGATAATAAAGCAAGCTAATGACAAGAACAATGATGATGGCTAACACTGAGTAATTACCACGCTCTAGGTATTCTCATAAGCACTTTAAACGCATTCTTAACTTATCTAATACTCAACCCCACAATGTACATATTATTTTCATTCTTGTTTTATAAAGAAGAAAACTGAGGACAAAGAAATTTAATTGCCCAAGGATACACAGCTGGAAAGTGTGTCAAGCTAGTGGACGGCGAAGAACTGGCCCCAAGTCACAGAACTGGCTAATGGTAACTGCATGATTCAACACAGTAACTCCACAGCCCAGGCTTGCCCTTCTATGCTAAAATTCTTCCCTACTCCACCTTAACACTTGGCTTAGTTTAGGTTGTCTGGCCCAGGTTTTAGATCTGTATTTATATGATTCTTGTTGTCTTCTTTCTCTTACGTCTTTTGTTCCATGTATTATGTCCTACCTACTTCCTTTCATCTGATACACAGCTTTGGAAGATAAACATCCTATATTTTATGCTGTGGAATAAAACCCCAGAGTACTTGGGAGTTTTGCTACCTAAATGTCATGAAACCAGCCCAGTTGTGCTATAGAACTGATGTTTATGGCTTCTTTTGAACAAACATAGAAATTAACCTTCCTGGTCTTGAAACTTGAGAAAATTACATTTGTCTTATCTGAGTTCCTTTCTCAGGAAACAAACCATTAGGCCTACCAGACAGTATCAAGGAATGGAAACTTACCACATCATTGCATCTAGACAAAAAGACACCAGACCCCTCAACCATCATGATTGTTTAAGCAACCACCTGCTTCCTGTTGACCAACTCCTATTTCTTTCTTCTCCTTAATTCCTATTTTCCCACACATGGTTACATTCCTTCCTTGCTATGTAACCCCTTAATTTTCGTCATCAGGGAGATGGATCTGAGACTGATCTCCCATCTCCTGAGCTGCAGCACCCAATTAAAGCCTTCTTCCCTAGAAATACTTGTTTTCTCAGTGACTGGCTTTCTGTGCAGTGAACAATGGGACCTAGACCAAACCCCTGGCATGTAGGAACAGATACTCGATGTTCCAAATAAAGTATGATAAAAATAGTATTTTACATTATCAAGACTGTTCTTCAAAGGGAACATGAATACCTCTAATGTGACTTATATGCATCTGTTTTTTTTCTTTTGTGATGAAGGCTATGGTCACTTCTAGAAGTCATGTTTATATGCAATTAACATAAAGTGAGTAGTTGGGACATTTAGACTTCTCCAAATTTTTCTTAGCAAAAAACACATGAGGCTGGGAAGAAGAGGATTGGGAGGCATAAAGAACTGCCTATGTGCAAAGGAAGGAACATGTGCATAAAGCACATTGCAAATGCAAGAAGCAGAATGGGGTCAAGTTCTTAGGCAGTGGAGCAGTGCCATGTCCCATTCACCTCCCACAAGTTCAACTATACACATCTCATGGAGAGCATATGAGAATGCATTTGGCTGCTTCTTAGAATGTCCAATCATTTTTCAGTTTGTTTTCTTCCTTCAAATAGTGTTGTGTCCTTGGCAGGCAGGTAAGTTACTTGTAGACCACTTTGATCCCTTTGAGCTGGGGTAGGTCTAGAGTAGCCTTCACTTCAAAGAGAGTTGAGCCTTACTGCTAGAATGGGGGTCCCTGGCATCTCCACTGGATGACCCGGTGATCAACAAACAGCAGTGTGGCTGGTTGGAGCTCAGATGTCTTTCCATTTTGTGTGAGCTCTGGCAATTGTTTAGCTTACAACTCCCAAGTCATTTTGTATTTGGCCTGGTGCAGTTTTGCTTCGTGCACATACAGCCTAGTACTCAGCAAAGAAACAAAGGCATTCCTATGCAGATGTATGAAGCAGTTGAATTGCCTCGCTCTCTCTTTTCCAGAACTCTGTGCTGAATTGCCAGCTGCCTTAGCCTCTCCAAGCTTAAGCTCTATATTCTCTACTAAGGAAGTCCTGTTGTATTCCCCTCCCTAGCTGCCTGGTCTGGAAGGAAGCCTGGGCAAATTTAGGGCTTACTTCCTTTGTTTCTCTTCTCCAGGGTTCATAGTCCTTTCCCATCTATGGCCCAAGGTCTGAAAACACTTGATTCGGTCTGGTTATGATAACTCACACTGATAATCCCAGCACTTTGGGAGGCTGAGGTGGGAGGATCACTTGAAACTAGCTAGGAGTTCAAGACCAGCCTGTAAGAGTCCCTATCTTTACAAAAAAGTAATTAAAAAAAATAGCTGGGCATGGTGGCATGCACCTGTAGTCCCTGCTACTCGGGAGGCTGAGGCAGGAGAATCACTTGAGCCCAGGAGTTGAAGACTTCAGTGAGCCATGATCATGCCACTACACTCCAACTTGGGTGACAGAGCAAGATCCTGTCTCAAAAAAACAAACAAAAAAAAATTAATAAAAATTTAAAAAAGATAAATAGTTAAAACCAGTTTGTCTAGTTTTCAAGTTATTTATGATAGGAGGGGAAGTTCAATCCTTATTACTACAAAATAGTTGGACAAGAGTGAGAACAATTTAAATACCATGGACTATTTAAATATCAGGTCCACCTGCAGAATGTGTGCCCCAGCAGGCTGTTTGTGAAGGGAGATGTGAATCTGCTTCTCTGTATGTTTTCTAGTCGTAGGGCTGAGTGTTCATCTTGTGTCTCAAGAGATACATTTTTGGTAGGCTAGGTGTGGGGGTTCATGCCTGTAATCCCAGTGTTTTGGGAGGCTAAGGTGGGAAGATCGCTTGAGGCCAGGTGTTCAAGATCAGCCTGGACAACACAGAGAGACTCCATCTCTTTTTTTTTTTTTTTTTTTGCCGATCAGTGTGAGCCTTGAACTCATGACCTTGCCTTTGCAAGCGCCACGACATCCAGCCGGAGCCACTTTGGACCCCGAGACTCCATCTCTTAAAAATTTTTTTTTTTAATTAGCCAAGCATAGTGGCACACACCTGTAGTCCCAGCTTCTTGGGAGGCTGAGGCAGGAGGACTACTTGAGTCTGAGGCTGCAGTGAACTGTGATTGTGCCATTGCACTCCAGCTTGAGTGGCAGACTTTGTCTCCCACCCCAAAAAAGATGTATTTCTTATAGAAAATGGCCCCTTAGTGGAAGACAATTATGTCATCTTGTACTCATTCAAAAAATAATTCTCTATCAAAATATTACATATGCCCCATACATATGTACAAATATTATATACCAATGAAAAATAATATTTAAGAAATTGGAAGTCTACTTTGAAAATCCCAAAAACCAAACCAAACACAAAAAGTGAAGTTTTCTCCTTGCAGGAGGAAACTTTGCCTGGTTGGATTTATTGAGACATAGAATGTTCATCTTCATTGGACAGACTTTTCAAGAGCCATTTTTTTTTTTTTTTTTAAGACAGAGTCTCACTCTGTTGCCCAGGCTGGAGTGCAGTGACCTGATCTCGGCCCATTGCAACCTTCACTTCCCAGGTTCAAGTGATACTCCTGCCTCAGCTTTCCAAGTAGCTGGGACTACAGGCACCGTGCCCAGCTAATATTTTGTATTTTCAGTAGAGACAGGTTTTCACCTTGTTGGCTAGGATGGTCTCAATCTCTTAACCTTGTGATCCACCCACCTCGCCCTCCCAAAGTGCTGGGATTATAGGTGTGAGCCACCACGCCCGGGCAAGGGCCATTTTTACATGACATCATTCTCATAGGCTGACTTTAGAACCTAACCTCTTCGTAAGACACAACTCCACCATACTTAGATTGACTTTTAGAAGCTGAGTGAACCTTTCTTTTGCTTTGGAGACCTGAGGTGAGGGCTTTTGCTCTTGGCTTGGTTCCAATTTCTTCTCCTCAATTGGAATTCCCAGAATGCTCTGCCACCAACAGTGTGCTATTTATGAGCAGTTGTTCCCTCTTTCACCCAGGCTCTGCTTCTACCTAATGGCATTTTTATACCTATTAGCTTTCTTTATTGGAAGAATCTGAGCACTGTAAAGCCGAGCAGGCTCGGTATTAAATCCTCCTGCAGTGTAAAAGCAAAGGCACGTTCTTTACAGCTCTGAGCCTTGATCTCCCCATTTGTAAATGATGGTGATGAGTCTCACCTTGTAAGGTAGTTGGAACCATTAAATGAGTTCATGCTCATTTATTCTCTACTCTCTGGTGCGGCTTCCAAACTCATTTCACCATGGAAACAGCTCCTGTCAGAGTTACCAACGTCCACCATGTTGCAAAACCCAAAGGCTTTTGTTGTCCCTTATTTTACCAGATTTCTCAGCATTATTTGATATTGTAAGCACTGTTTTTTTGAAACACTTTTTTGGGGATGGCGTCTCACTATGTCATCCAGGCTGGAGTGTAGTGGCACGAACTCGGCTCACTGCAACCTCCACCTCCCGGGTTCAAGTGATTTTCCTGCCTCAGCCTCCCAAGTAGCTAGGATTATAGGCGTGTGCCACCATACCTGGCTAATTTTTGTATATTTTAGAAGAGATAGGGTTTCACCATGTTGGCCAGGCTGGCCTCAAACTTCTGGTTTTAAGTGATCTGCCCTCCTTGGCCTCCCAGAGTGCTGGAATTACACGCATAGGCCACCATGCCTGGCCGGAAACACTTCTAAAACAGTCTTGACTTCCTGTTTTCTAGTTGCTATAGTGTGGATATTTGACTCTTCAAGCCATGTGTTGAAACTTGATTTGTAATGTTGGAGTTGGAGCCTGGTGGGAAGTGTTTTAGTCACTCATGAACGGGTTAATCACCTGGGTGGGAGGAGGTAAATGAGCTCTCACTGTGAGTTTCTGCGGGAGCTGGTTGTGGAAAACAGCCTGGCGGCTGGGCACTGTGGCTCATGCCTGTAATCCTAGCACTCTGGGAAGAAGCCAAAACAGGCAGATCACTTGAGGTCAGGGGTTTGAGACCAGCCTCGCCAACATGATGAAACCCCGTCTCTACTAAAAATTAAAAAAAATTAGCTGGGTATGCTGGTGGTACACGCCTGTAATCCCAGCTACTTGAGAGGCTGAGGCAGGAGAATCACTTGAACCTGGGGGGATGGAGGTTGCAGTGAGCCAAGATTGCACCACTGCACTCCAGCCTGGGCAACAGAGCGAGACTCTGACTCAAAATAAATACTTAAATAAACAATCAAAATCAAAAGAGCCTGGCACCTCCCTCCCCTCTGTTTTGCTTCCTCTCTTGCCATGCGATGTCAGCACAGGCCAGCTCCCCTTCACCTTCCACTGTGAGGGTAAGCAGCCTGCAGCCCTCACCAGGAGCGGATGCTGGTGCTGCGTTTCTTTGTGGCCCACAGAACTGTAAGACAAACACATTCCTTTGCATAACTCTTTTTAAAAGACGGGGTCTTGCTCTGTTGTCCAGGCTGTAGTACAAAAGTGCAGTCATAGCTTACCGCAGCTTTCAAGTCTTGCGCTCAAGGGATCCTCCTGCTTCAACTTCCTGAGTAGCCGGGTCGACAGTTGTGTGTCCCTGAAGGAAATAATGTATACGGTGGACCATTTCCAAGACAAAGTGCCTTAACTTGGCTTAGGTCAGCAAACTACAGAAGAAACAGGATATGTTAGGCACCTGCTTGGATAGCCAACACCTGCTTGTCGGCACCCCCATCCCCTTAGTTGCCCTCATGTGAACCCCAAAAATTAGTCTAAGATAAAAGTTTACTAGCTGGCAAAATAGCTTACTTTGTCTGTTCTTATCAGCCTGCCCAGCTACTTAGGTTATGAGTCAAAGAGCCTCTGAGATGACTGGGATTGCAATGCATTGTGGGCTGCAACAGAATGCAGCAAGACAACCCTAAAGAAAACACCTGAAGCCCCTACCCAACATCCAATAGGCGACGTCCGGGAGATTGCGCCCCCATAGTACTCAGCCTATGAGGAACTGGGGGAGGGACCTGCGCACTAGGATCGAAACTGTATTGGGTGTGCATGCCTATCAGACACCTGATCTTGCAAGACCGTCGTTAAAAGTCTCACTTTCTCTGTTCGGGTCTCTGAGTCCATTCTTTGGATTCGGACAGGTGAGTTTGTTTCTCACAAAACCATGGCTGGCCAATCCTTCTTCCCTCCCCTCCCCCACCCACTTTTTCTCCCCTCCCCTCCCTTCTCCTCTCTCTATCCCTACTTTCCCTTCTTCCTTCCCCTTGCCTTCCTCTCCTTTCTTCCTTCCTTCCCTCCTTCCTTCCTCTTTCGTTTGTTCTTTCTCTCTTTCTCTTTCCCTCCCTTCCTCTCTCCTCCCTCCCTTCTTCCTTCCTTTTCTTTCTCTTTCCCTCCCTCCCTCTCCTTCCTTCCTTTCTCTCCTTTTCTCATTCTCTTTCTCCTCCCTCCCTCCCTCCCTCCTTCCTTCCTTCCTCCCTCCCTCCCTTCCTTCCTTCCTTCCTTTCCTTCTTTCCTTCTTCCCTGGAGTCTCACTATATTGTCCAACTCCTGGCCTCAAGAAATCCTCCTGTCTTGGACTCTCAAAGTGCTGGAATTGCAGGTGTAAACCACTGTGGGCAGCCTCTCTTTTCTTTATAAATTACCTAGCCTCAGGTATTCCTTGATAGCAACGGACACTACTTTTCCTCCTTTCTCTCTGGCCACAGCTTTTCTGACTCATATTCTTCTGTTTCAACCTCTAAATCAGTAGCCTCCCAATTTATATTAATTTCTATTTTAATGAATTTTAATTTTAAAAATCTCATTCTCTAAAATTTCTTGTGCATGTTTGTGTGTGTGTACAGGTGTGTTTTGTGGTAGACACAATATTTAAGCACAGTAGCACATGAACAAAATTTTAAATGAACATGTGCACAGGGGGTATAGATGCCACCATGCCCAGCTAATTTTTGTATTTTTAGTAGAGACAAGGTTTCACCATGTTGGCCAGGCTGGTCTCGCTCTCTTGACCTCATGATCCGACCGCCTTGGCCTCCCAAAGTGTTGGGATTACAGGCGTGAGCCACTGCTCAACTAAATTCTTTTTTGTGTATGTGTGATGGAGTCTTGCTCTGTTGCCCAGGGTGGAGTGCAGTGGCATATCTCGGCTCACTGCAACCTCTGCCTCCTGGGTTCAAGCAATTCTCCTGCCTCAGCATCCCAAATAGCTGAGACTATAGGTGCATGCCACCACATCTGGCTAATTTCTGTCTTTTTTTTTTTCAGTAGAGACGGGGTTTCACTGTGTTAGTCAGGATGGTCTCGATCTCCTGACCTTGTGATCTGCCTGCTGAATGTGCTATTCTTCAAGCTTTTCCCTCTCAGTTGATGTGACATCCATCTATGTTTGCTGGTTCCTTGAACACACCAAGTTGTTTCTGGTGGCCATGTACTCATTCCTGGCATTGTCTCGGCCGCTGATATCCACCTGCATATTTTTTGATTATCTTTCAAGAGTAAGCTGAAAGGTCACTCCTCAAGAGAGTCACTTTTCCTTTCCAGCATCTCATCCTCCTCTTCTGTTGGTACCAGTACTCTGATTTTTCCTTTGGAGGCAAGCAGTCTTGATAAGACAGGTTGTCAAGGTATCTAATTTCCGCAGCCCATTCCCAGAACCCTTCCAAGGAATTGGCATATGACCAAGCTAAGCCCATCAGACTCTGCTCCAGAAATTTGAGTTTTTTCCAAGAGAGTAAAATTGTAGGAACATTTTTCTCCTTCTTCTTTTTTTCTTCTTCTTGTTCTTTCTTCTTCCTCCTCCTCCGTCTTCTTATTCTTCTTCTTCTCCTCCTCCTTCCTCTTCCTCCTTCTTGTTCTTCTTCTTTCTTCTTCTCCTCTCTTCTTCTTCTTCTTTCTTCTTCTCCTTCTTCTCCTCCTCCTCCTCCTCCTCCTCTTCCTTTTTCTTCCTCTTCCTCTTCTTCTCCTCCTTTTTGAGTTGTGGTCTTTCTCTGTTGCCCAGGCTGGAGTATGGTGGTGTAATCATACCTGGGCTCAAACAGTTCTCCTGCCTCAGGAGTATCTGGGACAACTGGCACATGCTGCTACGCCCAGCTAATTTTAAAAATTCTTTGTAGAAATGGCTCTTGCTATGTTGCCCAGGTTGGTTTCCAACTCCTGGCCTGAAGAGATTCTCCAACCTTGGACTCCCAAAGTGTGGGGATTACAGGTGTGAGCTTCTGTGTTTGGACAGGCACATAGATATATATATATATGTTCCTGTTCTTCCAGCTTTTCCCGAAAATTATACATATATGATATGTGTAATTTTAATTATTTATTTTTATTTAATAAACAAATGTTCAGTCAATCATTTCTCTTTCAAATTGATTGTGTACCCCCGGAGCCACTGAATTGGGCCAGAAATCTCTGTAATCTATTTTCCAAAAATATTTTTGGAAATATTATTTAATACTTTAGGGTACAAGTGCTTTTTGGCTACCTGGATGAATTGCCCAGTGGTGAAGTCTTAGCTTCGGTATACCTGTCATCCAAATAGTGTACGTCATACCAAATAGGTGATTTTTCAATCTCTTACCCCCTCCATCCTTCCCATTTCTGACTCTGCAATGCCCATTCTACCACTGTGTATGCCTTTGCGTACCTTAGAAGATACCTGCTTGTAAGTGAGAAGATGCGGTATGTGGCTTCCTGTTCCTGAGTCACTTTAGTTAGGATAAAGACCTTCAGTTCCATACAGGAACACATGTCTTTTGATGGTGGTACCCTCAAAGTCTGCCCAGCGATTCCTGCTCCCAGATCCCAGAATTTCCATGGTTTTAATCCTTCCCAAGGCTTAGCTGTTCAGCTTGATTTTGATTTTCTACCCCATCTCCTTTGAATACATTCCTCATGTTTACATGTTAGCAGTTTTCTGTTGCTTGCCCTCAAGGAAGCCTAACTGATACACACTCCATGCTAAATTAGGCTGCACCTGTTACTCTTGTGTTGGATAGCACCTCAGAGGAGTTTCCTAAGGCTGTCCCAGACAAGGTACACAAACTGGGTGCCTTGAAACAACAGAAATTCATTCAGTCATGGTTCTGGAGTCTAGAAGCCCCAAATCAAGGTGTTAGCAGGACCATTCTTTCTCCAAAGCCTCTGGTGGAAGATCCTTGCCTTTTTCTCTCTAGCTTGTGGTGGCCTCGGGTTTTCTCTGGCTGGTTGAACCATCACGCCAATCTCTCATTCCATCCTCACGTGGTCCTCTTCCTTCTCAGCATCTCCATCTTCATATTCCATTCTCCTCTCTGTCTCTCTCTTCTTATAACAGTACAGTCATATTGGATTAAGCGCTTACCCTACTCCAATAAGGCATCATCTTAACTAATTATACTGCAATGACCCTATTTCCAAATAAGGTCACATTCCGAGGTGCAAGGGGCTTAGGATTCCAACATATCTTTTTGGGAGACACAATTCAAGCCATAACAGCACTCTATTTTTGCAGCATTTTCACTGTTTAAAATTATACATATATTTAAAACAAATTTTAGAGATGGGGTCTTGCTGTGTTGCCCAGGCTGGAGTGCAGTGGCACAATCACAGCTCACTGCAGCCTTGAACTTCTGGGCTTAAGCAATCCTCCTACCTCAGCCTCCTAAAGTGCTGGGATTATAGGTGTGAGCCACCATACCCAGCCATTACAATTATATTTTTTATTTGTAAGTTTGTTTAAAGCCTGTGTTTTCTATTAGACCGTGAGGGCAATAACTGCGTAGGCTCTGTCATCACTGTCTAGCCAGTGCCTGGCACCATCTCTGGCATAGCTGTGATTTCTACGTGGCACCTAGCTAATATCCAGCACATCAGAAACTTCAAGAAGTAACTATCTCTTTTGATTGTTTAGAATTGTTGGAATGCTTTACATTGTAAGTACCTTGTCAGAATCTATCGTATTCTGTCCATGTGTAAGGAGCAAGGAAAAGAGGCTTGGGTTAAAATACCCAAGGGCCATGTATGTTCTTTAAATATTAAGAGTCATGTTTGGCTGTGGAATGGAATGGCCATGCCTGCCCCCAGGTGTCTCTTAAGGGACCGCCAGCTGCTGTGTAAGAACGAGACACCATTGTGATGCTGCAGTGCACAGGCAGCCACCGGGCCGTCTGGGGAGAGTGTCTGCATTCCTGCCAATGCTCATCTTTTACCTCTGTCATCCATTTCCCACTGGCAGGGCTTTCTCTGCCTGGCTCAGGGATAGAATATGAATCAGGCCATCCCTGGTCTCCAGAATTAATCATTTCTCCTTCAAATTGATTGAGTACCCCAGAGCCGTTGAACTGGGCCAGAAACCTCTGAAATCTATTTTCTAAAAATATTTCCCAACTTGGCAAAAATGTTTCTGTTGGTGAGGAGGGAAAGAAGTGAGTTAAGGAAGAGGTTGTTAAGGTAAGGAAATAAGAGGAACTATTGTGAAGAGTTGAGATGGCATCTGACTGCTGACCAGTAGAAGAATGACCAAACCATAGTTGGAGAGGTGGAAACACCAGTCAGGACGGGGAATTATACATTTGGAGTGGCACCTATCTGGGGGCAGGTGGCCAAAGTTTCTCTAGCAGGGTTAGTCACCTGAGAAGTAGAATGTGGAATTCATCCAGGAGTGGATTTGTTTTGTGCTGCTATAACAGGATACCTGAGACTGGATAATTTATTATTATTTTTTTAAAATTTTTTATTTGATTATAGGTTTTGGGGTACATGAGCAGAGCATGCGAGACAGTTGCGTAGGTACACACATGGCAGTGTGCTTTGCTTTTCTTCTCCCCTTCACCCACATTTGGCATTTCTCCCCAGGCTATCCCTCCCCACCTCCCCCTCCCACTGGCCCTCCCCTTTTCCCCCCAATAGACCCCAGTGTTTAGTACTCCCCTTTCTGTGTCCATGTGTTCTCATTTTTCATCACCCACCTATGAGTGAGAATATGCGGTGTTTCATTTTCTGTTCTTGTGTCAGTTTGCTGAGGATGATGTTCTCCAGATTCATCCATGTCCCTACAAACGACACGAACTCATCATTTCTGATTGCTGCATAATATTCCATGGTGTATATGTGCCACATTTTTCCAATGAGACTGGATAATTTATAAAGATAGAGACTTACTTCTTACAGTTCTGGAGGCTGGGAAGTCCACAGTCAAGGAGCTAACACCTGGCAAGGACCTTCTTGCTGTGTCATCCCATGACAGAAGGCAGAAGGGTAAGAAAGCACACACAAGAGAGAGGAACGGAGATGAACTCATCCTTTTGTCTGGAGTCCACTCTCAAGATAACTAGCCCACTCCCACAATAACAGCATTAATACATCCATGAGGCACAGCTCTCATAATGTAATTATTTCTCTCTCTCTCTCTGTAAAATTGCATTTTAAGTTTGGGGGTACACATGAAGAACATGCAAGATTGTTGCATAGGTACAGACATGGCAACGTGGTTTGCTGCCTTCCTCCCCATCACCTATACCTGGCATTTCTCCCCATGTTATCCCTTCCCAACTCCCCATCCCCTGCTGTCCCTCCTCTAGTTCCCCCCAACATACCCCAGTGTGTGATGCTCCCCTCCCTGTGTCCATGTGTTCTCATTGTTCAACACTCGCCTATGAGAGAGAACATGGAGGTGTTTGATTTTCTGTTCTTGTGTCAGTCTGCTGAGAATGATGGTTTCCAGGTTCATCAATGTCCCTACAAAGGACACGAACTCATTGTTTTTTATGGCTGCATAGTATTCCATGGTGTATATGTGCCACATTTTCCCCATCCAATCTATCATTGATGGGCGTTTGGGTTGGTTCCAACTCTTTGCTATTATAAACAGTGCTGCAGTGAACATTCTTGTGCATGTGTCCTTATAATAGAATGATTTGTAATCCTTTGGATATATACCGAGTACTGGGATTGCTGGGTCAAATGGTTGAACTAATTTACACTCCCACCAACAGTGTATAAGTGTTCCTATTTCTCCACATCCTCTCCAGCATCTGTTGTCTCCAGATTTTTTGACGATCACCATTCTAACTGGCGTTGAGGTGGTATCTCAATGTGGTTTTGATTTGAGGCAATTATCTCTTAAAGATCACCTCTCAACACTGTTGAGCTTATTAAAAATTAAGCTTCCAATACATGAACTCTGGGGGATGCATTCAAATCATAGAAGGTGGGTTTTTGTCAGGTGTTATGTGATGGCCTCGGGGGCAAGGGATTTTAGGGAAGAAAACTAATGGAAAGAACTAAAGAAAGCCAATGTACTAGATGGAGAAATGGAGGAGTCAAGAGAATGGACGTCTCCATCTAATATAATAAAACGTGGTAGGATAAGGAAGGGGGAAGTAAAAGGAGCTGTGGTTATCATGGAGAGCTTTAGAGTTTCAGATTTTGAAATTGCACTACAGTTTCAGAAGTGCAAGTGTTCAGGGAGAACAGATCCATGGGTACGGGTGACCGAAATGGAGTGGAGGTGGAAGTCGCTGGAACTGAATGAGTCCAAGATCTGTGACGTGAGGGTGGCAGATGTCCAGGCAGGACAAATCTCCTTCCCCAACATCCACACTTCCCAGACATGCCGTTCTGCCCACACTTGTGAGAAATGGCTCTCATCATCGTCAATAATGACGTCCTATTGCCAAATATAATGGCTGGTGCTCATACCACACCTCTTGGCAACATTTGACAAGTTGACCACTGTCTTCCTTGAAACGCTTCCTTTTTTTTTTATTGAGAGTGAGTCTTGCCCTGTTGCCCAGGCTGGAGTTCAGTGGCATGATCTCGGCTCACTGCAACCTCCACCTCCTGGGTTTAAACGATTCTCCTGCCTCAGCCTCCCAAGTAGCTGAGATTACCGGCGTGCACCACCATGCCCAGCTAATTTTTGTATTTTTAGTAGAGAAGGGGTTTCACCGTGTTGGTCAGGCTGGTCTCGAACTCCTGACCTCAGGTGACCCGCCCACCACAGCCTCCCAAAGGGCTGGGATTACAGATGTGAGCCACCACACCCGAATGAAATGCTTCTTTTCTTGGTACTTGGACACCCTGAGCTTTTGGTTTCCAGTTCTCCTCCTCCCCTGGCCACTCTATCAGTTGCTCCTTGTCTCCTTTGCTGGCTCCTCTTCCAGGCCTTCTAGTGCTAAAATGCCTGTAGTCCATCCTCTTAGCAATCCTGCACACTCCCTAGGTGACACCTTCAGCACCATGGCTTAAATGCTGTCCATACCTGATGACTTCCAATTTTATCCCTATTCTCTATATTGCTCCTGAACTCCAGGCACGTGCATCCAAAGGCTTTCTGGATATTTCCACTGAGGTGCATGTGTTGGTTTATTTTGTGTTGTTGTAACAGAATATCCAAGAATGGGTAGTTTATAATGAATAGAAATTCAATTATCATGGTTCTGGAGGCTGGGAATCCAAGATCAAGGCACTGATAGGTTTAGTGTCTTGTAAAAAGCCCAGTCTTTGCTACCAGGATGGCACTGTGTACACTGCCTCCTCTCCAAGGGGGAACACTGTTTGTCACATGGCAGAAGAGCAGAAGAGAGGAAGCTCACTCCTATTAACCCTTCTTGTAGCAGTATGCATTCGTTCATGAGGGCAGAACCCTCATAACCGAAACACCTCCCGTTGGGCTCCACCTCTCAACACTGTTGTGTTAAAATTAAGTTTCAACAGGAGTTTTGAAGAGGATAAAAACATTTCAGACATAGCAGTGCCTATTTGACCCCTCCTATTTAACATGCCAAAAATAGAAGTAACAGAAGTCGTGACTTTCCCCACCCAAACTCTACCTCCACTGTTCCTCATCTTAAGAATTTGCAACTCCAGTTGGGTGTGGTGGCTCACACCTGTAATCCCAGCACTTTAGGCGGCCGAGGCAGGCAGATCACTTTAGGTCAAGAGTTTGAGACCAACCTGGCCAACATGGCAAAACCATATCTTTACTAAAAATACAAAAAAATTAGCCATGTGGTGGCGTGCACCTGTAATCACAGCTACTTGGGAAGCTGAGGCATGACAATTGTTTAAACCCAGGAGGTGGAGGTTGCAGTGAGCCAAGATGGCACCACGGCACTCCAGCCTCAGCACTCCAGCCTGGGCGACAGAGCGAGACATGACTCTGTCTCCAAAAAAAAAAAAAAAAATTGCAACTTTATCCTTATAGTTCTTCAGATCTGGGGTAAAATGCTTACCTTCTTTCTATTTCCTTTTCTCATCTACAAAGCAGAGTAAATGATGGTTCTTCCTGCTTGAGGCTCCTATAATGACTCATTGAATTGTCACATTCACTCACTCAACATTGTGTCCCACACCATAGGAAAACATCTGATAATTGTTACTTATGACTGCTGTTCATATATTTATGCCAAATTCTGACCCTGAACTGCCTGCCGCTGACTGATAATGAGCTAAACAATGAGGTAAAATGGAGTCGTTGTCCTTGCTAAGCAGCCATTGAGTCTGGCCTGATAAGAAAGAGTCAAAGTCAGTGCAGGCACGAGGATTGGGGGAGATAAGCACTTCCTTATTGCTGTCTCTGATTTTGTGTTGGAGGCCAAATCATCTGGATAAAAATGAGCACTAATCTGTATAAAAACAAATATTTCTACATTCAGAAATTCTGAGCCCATGAGGCCAAAATGTCTGGTCTCTGGCAATCTTTGGAAAATCTGTTCCCCAGGCAGCCCATGTATTGCTGGAGTCCAGCATGGTTTTGTAGCCAAAGGCCCAGGATGCAGGGTGAGTGGGTGGTGAAGAGAGATCTCTGGCAAAGCTTTACTCCAGAGTCTGGCATTTAAACAAATACTGTTTTAAATTATCCAACTAGTTCCTAGCAAACAGATGTTTCACATTACGTTAGCTGTAATATAACAATAATCAGCTAATTTTTTCATGTAACCAATAGAAAAGTGAAAGAACCATTCACTTCTCATGGGGTATGGCTGCAAAGGTTTCACTGCTGGTATTTTGCACCTTCGTTTGCCTTTTTGCTAAGCTCTTTGGTATATTTTCTGGCCAGGAGCAGCATGCTATTTCAGAGTCCTCGATAGCACCTCGTTGTACCAGTGTACCAGTGTAGCCCTATTGGCTACCCCAGTCCTCTTGTAAATGGATCAGGAACTGGGGAAAGTAGACTTCTTCCTGCTATGCCTGGAGAATTAATTCCCTTCTTTTCAAGGAAAGGCCATCCTGCTCACCAAGATACGGTGTTGGGTGTGATGTCTTTAAAGGATGGAGGAGAACTGGGAATCACCCTCCTGGTCAGTCCATTCATTTGCCTCGTTCCTAGTGGTCCATGGGGTGATGGATGTCCCAACAAGGTTCCCCTCACCTCCAGGCTGATATTTAGAGCAACTCTGGGGAGAAGACTGTACATTTTAAAAAGAGAAATCAGTATACCCAGAGTTGCTAAATTTAAACATTAGGTAGAAATCAAATACAGAATCTAAGAGAATAAAAACAAATAAGTGAAGAGATGAACTTCCCAGGAGACCCTGCAATCCATTTCTCTGAGTGCCTTAAGTGACTGTTTTTATAGTCATTAATATTTTTTGCCCCAGAAGACTCTTGCCATCTCAGTGGAAGGGGAATATCGGGAGTTGGAGAAGGAGAAAGAGAAGGAGAGTTTGGCTATGCATGTTTACAAATCCCCACCAATGAAATGAGCATTCTGCCAAGGTGCTGTGTACATACCACCTCTGACAGCTATACCTGCAAGATGTACCAATTTCATCTCAGCTTATCTGTAAGTGTATGATATGGTTTGTCGGTGTATCCACCCAAATCTCATCTTGAACTGTAGTTCCCATAATCCCTGTGTGTCACGGGAGGGACCCAGTAGGAGGTAATTGAATCATGGGGGCAGTTACCTGCTTGATGTTCTATGATAGGGAGTAAGTTCTGACAAAAATCGATAATTTCATAAGGGGCTTTCACCCCTCTTCACTCTGCACTTCTCCTTGCTGCCATCGTGTGAAGGAGGATGTGTTTGCCTCCCCTTCCACCCTGACTGTAAGTTTTCTGAGGCCTCCCAAGCCACGCTAACCTGTGAGTCAACCAAACCTCTTTTCTTTATGAACTACCCAGTCTCAGGTGTGTTTTTATTGGCAGCATGAGAACAGACTAATACGATCTATGAGCAAATACTTGGTATTTACAGCCATGATCTAACAGAGGACTGGGGCTTCAGCCTCCATATATTCTATGAATCTATCGAGAATGAATAAAGTAGGTTGGGTTGGGGGAGTGTTCTACTGTTCTACAGCAGAACTTGTGATACGTTTAGTCACTGGATTCTGCTGTCCAGCAAAAAATATAGGAAGATTCTATTAAGAACATTAAGGAGAGTAAAAAAAGAAAGACAAAGAAAGAAAAAAGGAGAGAAGAAATAATGTACCCCAAGGAGAAGAAGGTATATGGCAAGTGAGGGGCTTCTGCGCCCAGTACAAGGGAAGGGTTTGAAAGACCGGAGCCAACGTGCACACTTGAACAAGAATTCCTCCTTTCAAAGTAGCCCATTGAAAATGAAGTGTTCTGCATCCTTTTCTTGGAAATAATTAGACAGTTCAATCATGGATCTTAAAAATGCTTATAAGAGGCATACTTTACCTTATTGCACCTTGTAAACATTGCGTGGCTTTTTTTTTTTCAAACTGAAGGCTTGTGGCTACCCTGAATCAAGCAAGTCTACTGGTGCCGTACAACAGCATGTGCTCACTTTGTGATTATTATAGTATTTCAGGCTTTTTCATTATTATCATATGTGTTACTGGGATCTGTGATCAACTATCTTTGATATTACTATTATAATAGTTTTGGGGCTCCATGGACCATACTCATATAAGATAACGAGCTTAATTGATAAATGTGTATGTTTCAACTGCTCTACCAACTGACCATTCTTTCATCTCTCTCTCTTTCCCTGGGGGTCCTTACTCCTGGAGACACAACCATGCTGACATTAGGCCACCTAATAATCCTACAGTGGCCTCTAAGCGTTCAAGTGAAAGGAAGAGGAGCACAGCTCTCTCATTAAATCAAGAGCTAGAAATGATTACGTTTAGTGGGGAAGTCCTGTCAAAAGCCAAGACAGGCAGGAAGCTAGGCCTCTTGCACTAAGCAACTAGCCAAGTAGTGCAAAGGAACAGCTCCTGTTGGAAATTAAAAGTGTTACTCCAGTGAACACATGGATAGTTAGAAAGTGAAACAGACTTACTGCTGATGAGGGGAAAGCTTTGGTGGTGTGGATAGGCAGTGAAACCAGTCACAACATAACCTTAAGCCAAAGCTTAACCCACAATAAGGCCTTAGCTCCGTTCAATTCTGTGAAGGCTGAGAGAGTGAGGAAGCTGCCAAAGAAAAGTCGACACTAACAGAGATGGGGTCGTGAGGTTCCAGGAAAGAAGCCACCTCCATAACATAAAAATGCTAGGTGAAGCAGCAAGCGCTGGTGAGAAGCTTTAGCAAGTTATCCAGAAGATCTAACTAAGATCCTTGATGAAGGTGGGCCACACTCAAAAACAGACTCGAAGCCTTAAAGCTTCAAAATACAGGTTGACTCTCTTGTTAGGGGCGAATGCAGCAGATGACTGTAGGTTGGAGGCAATGCTCATTGGCCATTCTGAAAACCATAGAGCCCTTAAGCATGATGCTAAGTCTACTCTGCCTGTGCTCTAAAAATGGAAGAACAAAGCCAGGATGACAGCACATCTGTCTACAGCATGGTTTACTGAATACTTTAAGCCCACTGTTGATAGCTACTGTTCAGAAAAAAAAAAGATTCTTTTCAAACTATGAGTGCTCCTTGATAATGCACCTGGTCCCCCAAGAGCTCTGATGGATACGTACAAGAAGACTAATGCTGTTTTCATGTCTGTTGACACAACTGCCATCTAGCAGCTCCTGGATCAAGGAGGAATTTTGACTTCAAGTCTTATTATTTAAGAAATATATTTTGTGGTGTGGCCGGGCATGGTGGCTCATGCCTTTAATTCCAGCACTTTGGGAGGCCGAGGTGGGCAGATCACGAGGTCAAGAGATCGAGACCATCCTGGCCAACATGGGGAAACCCCATGTCTACTAAAAATACAAAAATTAGCTGGGCATGGTGGCACGTGCCTGTAATCCCAGCTATCCGGGAGGCTAAGGCAGAAGTATTGCTTGAACCTGGGAGGCGGAGGTTGCAGTGAGCCGAGATCACGCCATTGCACTCCAGCCTGGAGCCTGGCAATGGAGCGAGACTCTGTCTCAAAAAAAAAAAAAAAGAAAGAAATATATTTTGTAAGGTGAGAGCTGCCACAGATATTGATTCCTCTGATGGATCTAGGCAAAGTACATTGAAAACTCCATGGAAAGAATTCGCCATCCTAGATGCCATTAAAACATTTGTAATTTATGGGAGGAGGTCAAAACATCAGTATTAACAGGAATTTGAAATAAGCGGATTCCAACCTTCCTGGCTGACTCTGAGGGTTCAAGACTTCAGTGAGGAAGGAACTGCAGATGTGGTAGAAATAGCGAGAGAACTAGAATTAGAAGAGGAGCCTGAAGATGTGACTGAAAACTGCTGCAGTCTCATCATCAACCTCGAACAGATGAGGAGCTGCTTCTTACGGATGAGCAGACAGTGGTTTCTCGAGGTGGAATGTACTCCTGGTGAAGACGCTGTGAACGTTGTTTAAATGAAAGCAAAGGTCTTAGATGCTCTGTAAACTTAGTTGATAAAACACCAGTAGAATTTAAGAGGGTTGATTCCAATCTTGAAGGAAGTTCTACTTGGGTAAATGCTATCAGACAGCATTGCATGCTACAGAGAAATTTTGTAAGAGAAAGAGTCAGTCAACGTGGTAAACGTTACTGTTGTCTTAATTCAAGGCGTTGCCACAGCCACGGCAGTGTTCAGCAACCACCGCCCCATCAGTCAGCAGCCATCAACGCAGAGGCAAGACCCTCCACCAGCAACAAGATTTATGACTTCCTGAAGGCCCAGATGATTGTTAGCATTTCCATCAACAATTTTAAATTGAGGAATGTACACTGTTCTTCTAGACATAATGCTATTGCACACTTAATAGACTACTGTATACGATAAATATAACTTTTATATGCACTTGTAAACCAAAAAGTTTGCATGATTTGTGTGATGGTTAATATTGGGCGTCAACTTGATTGGATTGAAAGATGCAAAGTACTGTTCCTGGGTGTGTCTGTGAGGGTGTTGCCAGAGGAGATGAACGTTTGAGTCAGTGGACTGGGAGAGGCGGACCCACCTTTAATCTGGGTGGGCACCAGCTAATCAGCTGCCACTCGGCCAGAATAAAGCAGACAGAAAAAGGTGGGAAGAGCAGACTGGCTGAGTCTTCCTGCCTTCATCTTTCTCCCGTGCTGGATGCTTCCTGCCTTCGAACTTGAGACTCCAAGTTCTTCAGCTTCTGGACTCTCCGTGTTTGCCAGGGTCTCTCAGGCCTTTGGCCACAGACTGAAGGCTGCGCTGTGGCTTCCCCACTTTTGAGGTTTTGGGACTCAGACTGGCTTCCTTGCTCCTCAGCTTGCAGATGGCCTATTGTGGGACTTCACCTTGGGATCATGTGAGTCAATTTTCCCTAATAAACTCCCCTTCATATATGCATCTATCCTATGAATCCTGTCCCTCTAGAGAACCCTGAACCCTGATGAATATGACTTGTGTATTGAAATATTTGCTCCACTGCAGTGGTCTGCAGTTGAACCCCCAGTATCTCCAAGGTGATTCGGTAATTATTTAGTCATTCCTTTACTAGAAACCAAATCTAGTGGTCTGAAATTTGAAATCTTTTTGCACCCAAAGATGTGCATCTCCATCCTCTTTGTGCTTTCTAATCACCTGGTGAGTTTTGAAAAAATGCAGGTGCCTGGGCCTCAGCCCATACCCTGAAGTAGAGCCAAAAGCACAACTGGGGGTGGAGGTTGTTTGTCTGTTTGTTTTAAGCTCCCTGGGTGATTGGAATGCAGAGTCAGACTGGAGAACCTCCAGGGATATCTCTGCATGACTGAATCACACTCTTCAGGACTAAATCAAACGTTACTCCCCCTGAGAGACTTCCTTATTTGAGTAACCCCTGACCCATACTGCACCCCAGATACTCCTCCTATTTTTCTGTTTGACTTTCTTCAAGGTTGACGATCATCTTTCTCTCTGTACTCCTTTTCTCTCATAGAACTTTATTTCATTATTTTCTCTTTGGTCTTTAATTCTGAGGACCCCACTTATTTGTATGGGGGAGGGTTTGGGGAGCGTGTGATGGACTGGTGGGTGATTGGTTGCTAGTCATTACCACTCTAGCTAGAGAGACTATTAAGATAGTTCTGGTTGCTTCAGTGGCTTCCCCCATTGACCACAACCGTAGTCGGGGATGCCACTTCCATGCCTGTGGTGTCTCCATGATTCACCTAGGACAGGCTCTTCAGCCCCGTGGGTCACCACACATCTATCTGGGGGATGCTATACGAATTTTCTAGACTTTGTTGGCTCACAACTCACCTTCTCTTCCCTTTCCCTCTCCAGTTGTAGCTACCTGGTTAGAAGCCACACTGAGATATGTTCACCAGAATCCTCCCCAGCTACCACTTTCCAAAGTGTAAGCCAGGAAGTCGTGCCCCTCTTATTTTCTGGGTAGTTTGAGGTGGGCTTTCCTCTGAAATTATTCCTGTCCCCTTTGGTTCATCACTAAGCCTGCTTGACTCCACTACCTTTATCATGACTGGGCAAAGACAGTTTAATAACACGGTAAAAAGCTACTGTCATGGTGTTCGGTAAAAATCCCAGGTGCCAGTATGTGCAGGTCATATATTGACCATATTTAAAATAAAAAAATGAGGAGGAATACAAGAATATTATAGCAGGAATAAACTTTTTATGGAGAGATTACAAAAGGGGTTGATTTAAAACGTCAGTGCTTCTCAAGTTTTTCAAACATGCTTATTTTGCTTTTATGGGGATTAAAAACACGTTGTGAGGATTAAAAGAAATCTTCACAAAATGAAAAGCATAAAGTAGTCCTCTCTGGAGACCAAACCCTTTCTCGTATAGTTCTGTCATTGGTCAAACAGTCAACTTCCCGGTTTCAGAATTGTCTAAATTCTGTGGTCTCTTTTCTAATTGAAGCTCATCTTCATCTAAAGACCAAGCCAAAGTTTGGTGAATGAGTGAATGATTGGGCTGGGAAATACCATGTGACCCCACGGAGGGTTAAAAAGTATGGCTTTGCAAATGGCTTTGGGGTCCACACCCGGGGACAAGCCCAGAGACGCTTTGCACACTCTGTCAGTCCATTTCATGCTTCTATACAGAATACCACCTGGGGTAATTTATAAGGAAGAGAAAATTATTTCCTCATAGCTCTGGAGGTTGGGACAGCCAAGGCCAAGGCATCAGCATCTGGTGAGGGCCTTCTTGCTGTGTCTTAAGATGGCGGAGGGCAGCATGTGGGAAAGGTGGAGGATTGAGAGAGAGAGAGAGGAGCTGATTTCATTCTCACTCCCATGATAACAAACCCATTTCCAAAATAACGGCATTAATCCTCATCAGCTGTTAAAGAGCTCATCTCCCAATATGGGCTCTTTAACTGGTGATTAGGATTATCTAATTGGGGATTATGTCTCCAGCACATAAACTTTGGGGACTACATTCAAACCATAGCAGACACTGACAACAGCTGAAATGCCTCAAGTGCATACCCTGTGCTAACGCACTGTCCCCAGTGCTTTAGATGCTTACGTGTACTTAATATATAGGGCAACCCTATACATTTGGAGATACTCCAATTCCAATTTGTAGATGAGAAAACTGAGGTTAAGTGACTTGCCTAAGATCAGAGGACGAGTGACAGAGTATGAGATATACCCCGATGGGCACTTCTTTCTCTCACTTACACCATCAAGGAGCCTAAACTTTAGCCGCAGAAATAAAACCATTGAAACAACTATAATGCAAGACAGAATCTGACAGATGGTTCGAGAGAAGAATAAATCCAGGGCTGAGAGAAGGATTCTGTCCAGGGGAAGGGGGGTCGGTGAGGGAGGACATAAAATGGTCATGGCGGATGCGCTGTCTTAAATATACTGTCTTGACCCTGGGTAGTTTGAGGTGGGCTTTCCTCTGAAATTTGAGGTGAGCACTTCTGACTCACACTTTCAACCACTGTTCTCTTGCAGCAAGATGGCAGCATCACTGGGAAGATTCAAGGTGATGTCCCTGGGAGACAACTTAGAGAGGGCAACAGAAATTCACATGGGTGTGAGCAGACCTGATAGTAATTTTCCATGAGATTTGTTAACCACAGAGTGAGGTGTACGAGTGTGGGGAAGGACTGGAGTGGCGGTGTCCTATCCGTATTGGGTACTGACCGATCCTCAAGCACATGAACCACTGACCAGTGCTAGCACCCAACAAGGTCAACCCTTACAGCTGAGAGTGCTTCAGGATTAAGCCAGCGCCATCCTAAAGACTATCCTCTGCCATTCTGCTGTGATGGGGGAAGGGGGTTGGGCAGGGCAGGATGGAGGCTGTGCTGTCATTTGTCCCCTTAGGACTCATTGTCTCACAAGTGTATACCTGCACACACACCTCTTTCCCTGAGCACTAGCAGCCTGGTGGGCACTTAGTACTTGGCATGTTTCGGAAACCAGGATCGGGCTTCTCCACTTCTCCTGAGGACCGCTGTGGGAACACGTAATGAGGAACAGTTCTTACGTTTCTCACATTCCTCCCTTCCTCTCTCTGTCTCCATCCTCTTCTCACTTTCTGTTACCTGGCGGACATCCCTTCCTTTCATTCCCCTTTCTTCATTCATCTCCCCTTCAAACTGTGGTTCTTAGTCTTTTGAGAGGTCACAGATGTCTTTGAGACTCTGGCGAAAGCTGTGGATCTCCTCCCCCTTAAAGTGGACAGATCTCACACAAACATTCCTGGGTGTGTATGTGTGCTTTCCCACAGACCCAATATGAGTCTCTCTATGCCTGAAGAGATCCCTGGTTGATGTGGTTTGGCTGTGTCCCCACCCCAATCTCATCTTGAATTATAGCTCCCTTAATTCCCACATGTCGTGGGAGGGACCCAGTGGGAGGTAACTGAATCATGTGGGTGGGCTGTTCCTGTGCAGTTCTTGTGGTAGTGAGTAAGTCTCATGAGATCTGATGGTTTTATAAACGGGAGTTCCCCTACATGAGCTCTCTCTTGCCTGCTGCTATGTAAGATGTGTCTTTGCTCTTTCTTCACCTTCTGCCATGATTGTGATGCCTCCCCAGCCACATGGAACTGTGAGTCCATTAAATCTCTTTTTTTTGTAATATAAATTACCCAGTCTTGGGTATGTCTTTATTAGCAAGGAGACAATGAACTAATACACTGGTCTATAGGCGGAATTCTTTCCTCATCCCTTTCACACCCACTGCAGACAAGAGCAAGGGCTTCACTCAGGTCCTCTCTGTAGACCAGGGAGCTGGTCTACACGTTAGGTCCCACTTCTCCTTTCCTCTCAGGCCCTTCTCATGGTCAAGCGATGGAAGGCATGGACCTTGAGGACAGGTGATCTGGGTAAAAATTTAGGTTCTGTCCTTTTGTTATGTGCCCTTGGAGGGCAAGTATCTTCATTGAAAAACTGAGACTAACTGTATATTCCTTATAGGAATTTATGATGATGACTTGTGTTAATAAATGCCAAAGCCCTAGAACAATGCCTGGCAGGGATTAAATGATATCAGTCCTGCCATTTTTATTATTTGGGTGATCAGTATTGAAGGAACAGGAGGGGGCTTTGCTTTGAGGGCCGTTTGTAACTTCCTCCTCTTTATTCTTATTTCAAGAGGCAGTAGAACTAATAAGTACAATTCCAAATAATGCAAACATTCAGGAAACACATAAGTCCTTGGAGGATAATTAAGACATCACTTGTTACCATTAAGGAGCTTAGAATGTGGTGCAGAAATAAAACAATCAAAGCAACTATAATGCAAGGCAGAATCTGGTAAATGGTTCAAGAGAAGAATAAATCCAGGGCTGAGCAAAGGATTCTGTCCAGGGGCTGGGGAGGAGGTGGCGAGGGAGGACTTGAAGCTGGGCCATAGAGAAGGTGCTGTCTTAAGTCAGTAACACAGAATAATATGGAGAGCAGGGGCTTTTGCCAGAGGGAGTCATGTTCAGAGGTACTCAGGTGGCCAGTACTGGAGGTGTCTGGGAAATAGTGAAGCTTGGGGAAGGCTCTGCCCTGGGGGACATTTGGAGAAATTGCTGGAAAGCCAGGGTGAGCCAAACTGGGGAGAAATCTTTAAAAGACATGTGTCTTGGAGGTAACTTCACTGCAAGAGCAGAAACTCAAGCCAGCTGACTAAATGGGAATGCATTTCAAGATGTTGTGATTTCTCACAAAGCTCATGGAGACGAAGTAAAGCCATGTCACTCAAAAGATTTAAACTGGAAATCAGAAAGAAGTGCCCATTGGCATATGTCTCACACTCTGCCCTCACCCGTCGCCTCATCTCTCTGCCTTTCTGTGTCTCTGTCCTTCTCAGTCTCCCTCCTGGGTGTCTCTTTCATTCTCTCTACAGCAGTCAGGGGCTCAAATGGCAGCCCTAAACCCAAGTCCACATGATCCTTGGGGTTCATGAACCCACAGATCAGCTCCAACTCAGCAGGACTGCTGTGTTTGGTTGGGCAGGTTGGATCCTGCACAAGGCTACCCTGCCAAGGGGGTGGATGCCAGCTGAAATCCAGTGTAATTCTCTCACTAATATTTCATTGGCTAAAGCATACCACGCAAATTTCCAAGGAGATAGGACATGCATTCCTACCATATTCCAGAAGGTGGAAAAACCAGAGTATGTGGGAACAGATCTGAAGTTTACTACATGGAAAGACAAAGCCTGTTAACTGTACAAAGTGTTATTTTCAGAGAATAATTTCTAACATCAACACATTCTATTTAACTTCTGCATAACGTTCCATCTCATTCCTTTTAACTACTCTACTGCACGTCTCATTGCCATTAAGATATGCTGCATAATATTTCATTGTATGACTGTGTTATGGTTGATTTCTGCTCCCAGCCTAAGGGACATTTAGGTTTTCTCAGTCGTTCTTTCTAGTACAAATAATGAGGCAATACAGCAACACATTTCCGTGTGTGTGTGTGTGTGTGTGTGTGTGTGTGTGTTAGGGGAATACATACACATGCATATATACACAGTCTTATGCCTCATAAAGACATTTTGGTCAATGACAGCCCACATATACGACTGTGGTCCCCTAAGACTATAATGAAGCTGAAAAATTCCTATTGCCTAGAGCTGTCATAGCTGTGGGAAATCACAGTGCAATGCGTTACCTTTTCTATGCTTAAATAGGTTTAGATACACAAATACTTACCATTGTGTTAGGACTGTCTATAGCATTGAGGATAGTCACATGCTGTACAGTTTTGTAGCCTAAGAGCAATAGGCTATACCATGTAACCTGGGTATGTAGTAGGCTACATCATCTAGTTTTGTGTAAGTACATTCTGTGATGTTCAAACAATGGCGACATTGCCTAATGATGCATTTCTGAAAATGTATACACATTAGCAAGTGATGCATGACTGATTTCTTTCCTAGCATATTTACAAGTGCATCTCTGGGATATGCAGAGAATCTAAAGATCAGCTCCTATTGTTACAAGATAAAAGGTGGACAGGCATCACATTCATGACTTTGTGTGAACCCATTAGAGAATTGAGATTAGAGAACAGGTCACAGGACACACAGTCATCTTGAAGAGAAACAGGTGCTTGCAGGGAAATTCCTCACCTGCTGATTTGCTTATCTGGGGGAGAAGAAGCCACTGGGTATGATATACACTGATAGAAACATGAAACAAGACATTTTGTTTCCTATTGGCCTAGTATGAGAGTGTGAGGCTCCTAGAGGCTGCGGTCATGTGGGGAGGAGATTCCCTCCTCCCTTTTCAGGTTTTCCTCCAGCAACCCCAACCAGGGTCTCACAGGAAGTGTTACAGGTGGAGGGTCTTGACTAAGAGTCCTCTCGGTTCTTGGCATTTTAAACAAATAATTGGATAAAATGCACAAACGAAGAAGCAACAAAAGCACAGATTTGTTGAAAAGAAAGTACACTCCATAGAGTGAGAGTGGGTTCAAGCAAGAGACTCAAGAGCTCTGGTCACAGAATTTTCTGGATTTAAATACCCTCTACAGGTTTCCCATTGGTTACTTGGTTTTCACCATATGTAAATGAAGGAGGGGCCATCATCAGCCTGATTGGTTGCAGCAGGCAATAAATCAGAGGCTGAAGTGGAGTTATAAAGTTACACCCCTATGCAAATGAAGACCAGGCCCACGACCAGTCTGATTCGCTGTGGGAGAGGACCAATCAGAAGTACTTTTCATTTCTCATCTGTGATGAAGAAAGTGGGGTTTGCAAAGGGAGGAGCATCTGTTCTTTTGTTACCTGGACTTGGAGAGTTGAAGTTTTCCCTTTGATTAGTTCTACGAAGTCAGTGTGAATCAGCCTTAGGTTCCCTGCCTCTAGACCCTATCTTCTTGGCTCAGAAGGATGGAGATAATCCAGAGACACTGGCTGGGAAAGGGGAGTGGTAGCCATGCTGGAAGCTCCACAGAGACCCATCTTCTTCCTTACAGAAAAAAGGGCTTAATCTGCAGGAGGGAGCATATTGCCAGAGGCCACTCCGTGTAGCCCAAACATCTCTTTGTCACATAAGAGAGAAAGGAAACTCAATACAAAACCTTGTACTCTGCAGAGGGGAGAGTCTTGGGGAAGATTGAAAAATGCAGTCCTGGAATTATGCACTGCTTCATGGAAAAGGAATAAGAGTAGAGGGATTAAAAACTCTACTCTTAGGTGAGGGACAGAAACACCTGTGAAGGCTACATCCCAAGACACAGGCCCATTGTACACTTCCAAAAATGGAGACTGAATCAGAAAACTTCAAAATGCTCTGTATCCTCCATATCCTACCAGCATGCTAACAAGCCTCCAGTAAGATTCATAGCAAGTAAATAACAGCAAAATACAGATGCTAGGGCTCAAGAGGCAGAACACCAAAGGCAAAGAGAAAATCTTGAAATCAGCTACAGCGAGAAAGAAACACCTCGCCCACAGAGAAACAAGGACAAAAATATGGCAGGTTTCTTGTCAGAAACGACGCACGCAAGAAGACAGTGGAGTAAATGCCTTTAAAGAGGGGAAAGAGGCCAAGTGCGGTGGCTCACGCCTGTAATCCCAGCACTTTGGGAGGCTGAGGTGGATGGATCACCTGAGGTCAGGCGTGTGAGACCAGCCTGGTTGACATGATGAAACCCCATCTCTACTAAAAATATAAAAAAATTTAGCTGGGCATGGTGGTGCGTGCCTGTAATCCCAGCTACTCAGGAGGCTGAGGTGAGAGAATCGCTTAAACCTGAAAGACAAAGGTTGCTGGGAGCCAGGATCGTGTCACTGCACTCTAGCCTGGATGACAGCAAAAGACTCTGTCTCAAAAAAAAATAAAATAAAAAAAAAATAAAGAAAAAGAAAAGAAATTTTGCAACTATGCAAGAAAGAAAGAAGACAGTGGAGTAAATGCCTTTAAAGAGGTGACAGAAAATAGCGTGTCAACGGAGGGTTCTGTATCTGCTCAAACTGCTGTGAAAGTGAAGGGGGAGAAGACTTCCTCATTCATTGCCAGCAGAATACAATACGAGATATGTTAAAAGAGTTTTTTTCAGGCAGAAGGAATATTATTAAGGTAAGAAACTTAGATACACAAAGAAATGAAGAACATTGGAATTGAGATAAATAAAAGTAAAATATAACTAAGAAAACTTTTCAGTGCTACAAAAAAGTCACTGACTGTAAAAGGTAATAATAGTGGTGACGTATTGTGGCTTGTATAAATGAGAATTATATGACCACAGTAAAACAAGATACGGGAAGAAGGAACTGGTAGTCTGGTATTTTGTTGTAAGTTCCTTTCACTATGCATGAAGTGATATGACATCATGATGAAATGTTATAATCAGAGATGGACTTAGATTATTTAGAAATGTATACTGTAAACCATAGGGAAACCACTAGAAAGGTTAAAGAGGACAAATAGTAAATTAATAGAGAAGACAAAACAGAATTACTATGAGCAAAAATGCTCATTAAAACCAGGGCCGGGCGCAGTGGCTCACACCTGTAATCCCAGCACTTTGGGAGGCTGAGGCAGGTGGATCACGAGGTCAAGAGATCGAGACCATCCTGGTCAACACGGTGAAACCCCGTCTCTACTAAAAATACAAAAAAAAAAAAAAAAATTAGCTGGGCATGGTGGCGCGCACCTGTAATCCCAGCTACTCAGGAGGCTGAGGCAGGAGAATTGCCTGAACCCAGGAGGCGGAGGTTGCAGTGAGCCGAGATCGCGCCATTGCACTCCATCCTGGGCAACAAGAGCGAAACTCTGTCTCAAAAAAAAAAAAAAAAAAAAACAGAGAAGGCAAAAGAAACACAAAAACCCAGTAAACAAGAAACAAAGAACAAATACAAAAAGAAAAGAAAAGAGCTTGGGCAACATGGTGAATTTTAGTAAAAATATATTGATAATTACTTTTTAAAACTTTATCTTATTTTCTGAGACAATCTTGCTTTGACACTGAGGCTGGAGTACAGTGGCACAATCTCGGCTCTCTGGAAACTCTGCCTTGCAGGTTCAAGCAATCCTCTCACCTCAGCCTCCCAAGTAACTGGGATTACAGGCGTGGGCCACCACACCTGGCTAATTTTTGTATTTGTAGTAGAGATGGGGTTTCACCGTGTTGGCCAGGCTGGTCTTGAACTCCTGACATCAGGTGATCCACCCACTTCAGCCTCTCAAAGTGCTGGGATTACAGGTGTGAGACACCACACCTGGCCATGGATACATTAAAAAAAAAAAAAAAAGATGAAGGAAAATATACCATGGAAACATTAACCAAAACAAGCAGGAGTCATTGCATTAATGTTGGACAAATCACTACCAGTCAATTTTAGACAAAATATAATCAACTAATTCAACCTAATTGACATGTATAGAAAACTAATTCAACAGCAGATTACACATTTATCTCAAGTATACAAGCATCATTCATCACAATAGATCATATTCTGTGCTATAAAACAAACCTCAAAAATGTAAAGGAGTGGAAATGGTACAATGAGAATTCTTGCTTCATAGCCACATTGCACTAGAAGTCAGTAAGAGATAGTCAGAAAAGCCCAGCGATTTGGAAATTAAACACTATACTTTTAAATAGCCCGTGGGTCAAAGAAGAGATGTTTTAAGAAAAATTTCAAAGTCTTTTGAAATAAAAGAAAAATAAAATGAATTGGAATGTATTTTATTTTGATGCAGCAAAAGTAGTCTCTAGACGAAGATGTATAGCACTGAATACTCATATTAGACAAAGATGACAAATCACAAAGTTGCTTACATTTTTAACCTTAGGAATTTCATGAGAGAAAAGAAAACCTATTTGGGAGGCCAAGGGGAAAGAGTTGCTTGAGTCCAGGAGTATAAAACAGCCTGGGCAACATAGGGAGACCCGCCCCCCAAAAAAAATTAGCCACATGTGGTGGCATGTGCCTGTAGTCCCAGCTACTAGGGAGGCTGAGGCAGGAAGATTGCTTGATCCTGGGAGTCTGAGGCTGCAGTGAGCTATGACTGTGCCACTGCACTCCACCTCGAGGAGGGGGGCACAGCAAGACCAAGAGGGAAAGAAAGAAAGAAAGAAAATAAGTAAGAAAGAGAGAAAGATGCAGAGAGAGAAAGAAAGAAGGAAGGAAAGGAAGGAAAGGAAGGAAGGAAGGAAGGAAGGAAGGAAGGAAGGAAGGAAGGAAGGAAGGGAGGGAGGGAGGGAGGGAGGGAGGGAGGGAGGGAGGGAAGGAAGGAAGGGAAAAAAAGAGAAAGAAAGAAGGAAAAGCAAACCTAAAGCAAGCAGCAGGAAGAAGATAAAAATTAGAGCAGAAATCAACCAAATTGAAAGCAAAAAACAATAAAATCAAAGCAACAGCTGATTCTTTAGAATATCTCTAGAATAAATTCCCAGAAGTGTGTGATGGCTCAAAGAGCTTGTGAATTTTAAATTTGGAAAGATAGCACTGCAGAGATCAATTTACATTCCCACCCCAATGTGTGAAAATCCCAGTTTCTGCATATTCTTGTCTGCACAGTACATGATCAATATTTTTATTCTTTGACAATCTAATACAAATAATAGAAATGGTGCTTTTTCTTGTAAAGTTTTGCCTTCACGTGTTTCTAAGTTAATTGTCTATTTTTTTCTGGGAAGTATTTCAGGTTATTTGCCCACTCATTTTTCTATTGACTAGTTGCTACTTTTTCTTATTGATTTAAAATTAGTATTTAAATAATTAGTTTAAGGGAACTAACAATTTTCACATACAATCAATCAATCAATTTACCCTACTTTGTTTTGTTTTTGATTTTTTTTTTTTTTTTTTTGAGACAGTGTCTTAGTCTGTCATCAAGGCTGGAGCGAGGTGGTGAGATCACGGCTCACTGCATCCTTGACTTCAGGGATTCAGGAGATTCTCCCACCTCTGCCTCCTGAGTAGCTGGGATCCCAGGCATATGCCACTATGCCTGGTTAAGTCTTTACAATTCTTTGTAGAGACAACGTTCCACTATGTTGCCCAGGCTGGTCTCAAACTTCTGTACCCAGCCTAATTTCCCCTAATTTGTTCCATGTATTTTAATTTTGTTCACTGTGTTTGCTGCCACCAAGTGTATTGGACAAACCTCTCTTCCTCAAAACCTAAAAGCCACAGAAGAGAAAAGTCTACCTGCTCCAAGATTCTTCTAATTCTTTTATTGCTTCATTTTTCACTTTAAAATTTTTGATCTATCCCTTTGATATAAGGAGTGATGTGTCATTGAATTTCAGCATTATTTCTGAACATCTGAAAAGCAGTTTGCTGCCTTTTTTCTGAGGCCTGTATTTTTTTCACACATAATTCATGTTCCTTAAGAAAAATCTGAAAATAGATACAAAGAATTAAAAAACACCCACAATCGCATCATTTAGGTATACCTTCTGTTATTTTATTATGTAACATTCCTCAATGAAAAACATATGTAAATATAACACTTTTAAAACAAGAAATGCAAGTGCGGTACACATCATGTTTTACCATCTGCATTGTTTGATTCACAGCATATTGTGATTATCTTTTCAAGGGCATCTTTGGGTTGAAATCGTGATTGCGAAGGTTGGGGAAGGTGAAGGAGCAGAGGTGTTTGGATGAACCTTCCTTCCTGCAATTTTGGTGGTAACAGGAAGGAGAACTGAAGGACGGCAGCTTGAGGACCATCTGGGTTGAGAGTCATATTTTCCTTGGGATGAAACAATCCTGTTGTAGACACCCAGGAACGAACAGGAGTGAACGGAAAAATGGGAAGAGGCAGAGGAGAGGGACTCTCTTGCCAGGAGAGGAGAGAAAAGGAGACAGGAGGGTGAGGGGACCCATATTACGAAGCAGAAGGGGTGGAATTTAGAGAAGTTCATGCTGCATGGTTCCATGCTCCCTGAAGCAGATGAGGTCATCAGCTGAGAGCGAGGAGGACTGGAGTATGTTTGGCACCTCCAGGAAGCAGGAATGTTGGAGCAGAGGCTCTGGGAACTTCATCAGGGAGCCAAGAAGAGCAGCAAAAGCCAAGTAGGGGAACAGTCAGAGCAGCCACTCGGCTCTGCGAGCCCCGCTCGGGATCCAGGAGGAGGGAAGAGAGGAAGGAGGCTTGAGGCACGACCAGGGTGGAGTTAGGGGGATGGGAAGACAAGGACAGCAGGGTCCCTGGGCTGGGGCAAGTACCCTTGGGTGTCTGGAACGGAAGCCAAATGCAGGGAAGGTTGCCTCTCATCAATATCATGCTCTGGGATGGGTGTGGTGGCTCATGCCTGTAATCCCAGCATTTTGCCAGGCAGAGGTGGGCAGATTACTTGAGGTCAAGACCAACCTGGCCAACATGGTGAAATGCCTTCTCTACTAAAAATGCAAGAATTAGCTGGGCGGGGTGGTGCAGGCCCATAATCCCAGTTACTTGGGAGGCTGGGGCGGGAGAATCACTTGAATCCAAAAGGCGGAGGTTGCAGTGGGCCAAGATTGTGCCACTGCATTCCAGCCTGGGTAACAGAGCAAGCCCCCATCTTAAAAAAACAAAATACAGGCCAGGTGCTGTGGCTCACACCTGTAATCCCAGCACTTTGGGAGGCCAAGGCGGGCGGATCACAAGGTCAGGAGTTCGAGACCAGCCTGGCCAACATGGTGAAACCCTGTCTCTACTGAAGATACAAAAAATTAACCGGCTGTGGTGGCACATGTCTGTAATCCCAGCTATTTGGGAGGCTGAGGCAGGAGAATCGCTTGAACCCAGGAGGCAGCGGTCACAGTGAGCCGAGATCGCACCATTGCACTCCAGCCTGGGTGACAAGGCGAGACTCTGTCTTAAAAATAAACAAACAAAAACGCCACCACGCTCTGCCCTCTGCTCAGGTGGTCTTATTTCTGCCTTCCTACTTCAGGGCTCCTATCTGTAGCCTCTCACCCATTTGCCACCCACCTCATCATCGCCTTCTCCTCAGCATCCCCTTCTCCCAGCTGGGACCTCCTGATCTTCAGAAACAGACTGCGCCTCATCTCCAGATCCCAGGGAGCAGGAGAAATTCAAGCACTGGCCAGTGCTGCATCCTTGAAGTCCTCAGCAAGGCACCAAAGTTCTCCACGTATCACTGCCCAAAAGTCTCCAGGCAGCCTGCCAGCTCCCGGAGGTCCCAACAGTGTGGCTGTTAAATCCGCAGTGTCTTTAGCTCCCCGAGGTCCCAACAGTGTGACTGTTAAATCCGCAGTGTCTTTACCCATCTTCTGCAGGGTTGGATCGAACCATGCTGCCAGAAGGAAGTTTGGAGCAGGTGTCTTAGTCCCTTTGGGCTGCTGTAACAAAGTGCCATAGCTGGTGGCTCAAAAAACAACAGCAATTTATTTCTCATAGCTCTGGAGGCTGGAAGTCCAAGATCGGGATGTCAACATGGGTGGGTCCTGGCGAGACC